AAGTGTATATATTAAGCACTAGGTTTGTTTGCTTTGTAGAAGGGCAAAAATTATTTGAATTAGTGTCTAGTGATCTTACCCACAAATGGAATCATTGTCACTTCTATTGGCTACTACTAATACTAGTACTAATGCTGACTTATAGTTCAGAGGTAAAGAACATATCATTGCGTTTAACATTTTCACGTATCCATCGATCTACTGAAGAAAAATCAACCCCTTTCAGAACTTAAGTTTACAAACCAATGAGAAGTGGGATGTCATAACAAATTTGCTTACCATGGGTTCTCAGACATAAGATACCTAAATTTATATGTGAGTGAAGAATTCATCTCGGATCCAAGCTGATGAACAGAACATAAAATATCCTAAACAAAAGCTCAGCTGTCACAGTCAAAATGATTCACTTCTCATTTGCACTTGCTGATCAAACAAAGCATTGATCATTCAAACAAGTTTAAGACTTGATGTACAATAAAATACTCTGCGTCCTCATAATTAATAACTAGAACTTTTCATGGTGTTGCATAATGATATATATATTCTCACTAGCATTTCGTATGAGTGTTAGATTCTAGTAAGATCAACTATCCACCCTTAAAATGTTTCCTTTTTGAGCTAAGAACAAGTTTATAAGTACGCTGAAGAAGGCGGTTGAAAACTTGACCATATATCAGAATTTATCTATCAATTCTGTCAACTCAAATGAAAATATGAATCATTTTGATTATTTTCGAGATAATGTAAAGTGCATTACGGGGTTGTGAAGATTGTTAAGTTACATATTTTTGAAACCATGAATCGATCAATGTTAGACCACCATTAGAAACCTAGAAGCACTAGACGACCGTTTCGTCCTGGTATGGGACTCATCATTGACAGTGCGCATCCACAACTCCTGCACCCCGTGACCAGTGAAGTTCAACCTGTTCGGGTGTAGACAGTAATTACCGAAGACTGTGTATGAGGTTGCGCAACTCCATGAACTGATCAAGTTAGACATTAACACCGTCAGATACCGACTCAGAGATCCATTGGTTAGGCGTTCGCGCACAATACCGAAGGTCCTGGGCTCGAATCCTGCGGGGTGCAGGAGTCGTGGATGCACACTGCTGAGGAGTCCCAAACCAGAACGAAACCGTCGTTCAGTGCTTCTAGGTTTCTAATATTGGTGTAACATTGATCGATTCATGGTTTCAAAAATGTATAACATAAAGTATCATTGAAATAGTTATGCGGAAATTCATTATTTTATGAAACTGTAATTTGATAAAGCAATTTACTAAATAAAGCATTTCAACTAAAGTGCATTATCGATCACCTAATAGTTATTTTTCTCTCCTCAGTCACCCAAAGTAAATAAAGAAGAAGATACTAATAAAAGAATCTGTACATAACTCTCACTGAATTTTGAGCACTATATTGAGAATTCATACAACACCTTTACATATATATCTCTTACAACACAACTAGACTATAATAAAAAAATAGGCGTGTTCAATTTGAAATTCTACATAAAAGCTTCATTTATTTACCAATTTTTTTACAAATGCCACGTATACAATATGAAAATCGTAAGATCTAAACATATGTTTTGATAGTTTAGGAATATTTTCATTTATTAATATAAATTTTATTTGTTTTGCAACATGAAGAGTAAACAATCAAAGAGTATTGGTAAATTCAATATTTCATATTTTTTATGAAGAGAAATATTATTCACTTATTCAACAATAAATAACACAATGAAAATAGTAGTCAGTTTGGTTAGAGATGTTAGCTATTACAAAAAGAAAATGATCATGGGTCATTGTGTGAAGTTGAATTGTTTATTTAATTGTTAATTTACAAGTCACTAGTGGTTATGACTATTTTTGGTAGGATATTTATTTGGTGTATGTGTAATATTGGAATTTTCTTAATAATACGCTCTCATACACTTTGTAAGTTGATCTGGTTGTTTAGTTTTGTAAAATATATTTAGTTGGGATTTTTGAAACTGAATGAGTGCATTTATTAAACATAATCATTTCAGGATGTTACTCAACTGACTGAGTTCTCTTAGCAGAGTACAACTAGACGAAAAATCAGTGTGTTCACACTCATATCATGCAAGTCAGTGAACAGGTATCATAGGTTATATTTCAGATGAATATATCATATTTGCTCTGTTTGTATCGCAACGTGAGGAATAAGTCAAGATGTTCGTTGATTGTGTCAGTCATATTGACTGTGAATATTGGTTACATTATTAGCAGTTAACCAGCTTTCTTATATGTTACCTACTACACAACAACCGTATTCTATCAACTTCAGTCTGTGAAATCCATGTTACAAGATTTCTAAATGAACATGGATGGAAAAATGTTGAGTCGAGTATTAAAACTAATTGTAACAGAAAGAAATGCTGTCCTTGTTTTGGTATTCCATACTCTCACATCTGCATCAGATTCACTTTGTCTGTTATTGATGTTGGCCAGTTATGTAAAGGTTTCCACATATTCCATAAGTTCTTCGTAAAGAGTAATTTAGTTGGTCCATGTAATGATTTTGCTTCTTCCCCAGTATATGTTGAGACCTATTGTTGTTGTGTGTGGGATAGAATAGCTAAATCATCTGTGGTTGTAGCCTTCTAGGTCCCAAGCCCACAAAAAGGAGAAGAGTTGGGCATGCGGTTAGTGACCCCGTTAAGTAGAAAATTAACCTGCTTAAAAAACTAAGTCAACTATACGTAAATCGATATCTGTATTTTTCCACACATTCTTTTGATGAGACATTTTGAAATTGGTAACTTCTTGTATTTACAGAAATTTATCACAATCACTGTTTATACAAAGTTATATACAGTTTATTTAATGAATTGAATAATCAATCAAAAAAGGTTGTTGATCAATAATCGATCACTGCTTAAACTTCATTCTTGGCTAAATAATAGACCATAATCAATGTGCTATTGCTTGTGAATACTAAGTGAAGTTGTATTCATTTACATATACAATTGACTATGGTCACTATTGAGTATGGATTAGCATAAATCAAGTGATTATCGTTCGTAAAAAAATAAATTCACCATTAATCTAAAACTAGTTCTACTCATTCAAATTGTATACAAATCTCTAAATTAAATAGTTTTAACAGATAAGTAAGGTAATAAGGGGGGGGGGGAGTATCACACCTTTATATGCAATCACTTTAATACATGATGTCATTTTGTTTAAGAATACAAATGTTTTCTTTCCATGACTGTCTATATAAAGGAAAGTATTTTATCCTCATGTTTACATAGATATAACTGAAATTGAGAAACATAGACGTTGTTTTCTAATGTATATTTAGTTGGTATTTGGATCTGAATGTGTGAATTTATTCAACTTAATAATTTCAGGATGTTACTCAATTGACTAGATTCTCTTAGCAATACTACAAGACGAAAAGTAAGAGCGTTCTATCTTTTTATGACTTTGGAGAGATGTCACTGTATAGGTATTATAGTTGTAAGTTAAACCACACACTACATAAGCACTGATAATTTCTAAACGAATTTTAATCAAGTTTAATTTGTGCTTTAGTGTGTAATTTTGGTGCATTCGTTGACTTCATTTTGTTGACCAGTTATTTTGTCTTTTCGTGTAATTAGTTCACGCGTTGTGAACAATCAATTTTGACCGATTATTTTTCACATATACACGTTCATAAAAAGTTCGTCTAATCAGATTGTTCAGAAGTTATTGCGCTAATATACCATGTAGTTCTGACATTCTTTTACTTCTCAGAACACTATGCAAATTTATCAATAGGACCGACTGCCTGAAATTATTGTTTAACCAATAAATCACTTCATTCGGGAGATCGACCATCCAGCCACACATTTATTGTTGAGGACGATAGATCCCCAGAACTCACTTGGAAAAGGTCCTACTTGTGGAGTTTCCATATTGTCGCGCATAAGCTGCTTAGTTGACCTTGAGATTACAACTCCAACTCGGAAAATCCATGACTGTATTATTTTAGTACTCTCTTTTGTAGCTCTCCCAAGGATGTTTCTATCACGTGTAAATAAGCTCGATTCGTGTGCTTGTGGACCTCGTATTTTCTGAGTGCTTGTAAAATACACTCTCTACGCCTTATCAAGAGTTCTTGATATAGTTAGGTGGGCTGAGGTCAACGGCTTAGAACAGCCTATCATGTCACTGCATCAATTGCCTGCTCTCTGTTTACCGAGTAAGGTGAACTCTCAATAGTTCAAGCATACCAGTTGACGAGTATATCATTCATAATGCGTTGTAATACAATGTTACTATACCATATTTGTCATTATAGATTTGTAGATATTATTGGATTTCACTGGAATCATACTAAGAAGAAACGAGCTTCCAGGTTTCTAATGATGGACTAATATGGATCGATCTCAATAAAATACCTTATTTGTTTAAACGAACTTTTTAGATGCAGAGAAGTAATCAGACGAAACCATGTTATAAACACTTAGCATTTAAGACAACACTTTTCAAGGTGATTGTTTAAGTGAATTTATCATTCAACCAAATAATTATAATCATGTTTTAACACGACTTATTCCCCTATTGATAACCAATGAACGCGAGGTTGTTCAGCATGGATGTTACCTTCTATGTTGAAACACTCTAACATTGATCACCTTTAACTCTTCAACATAACATTCATTCGTATCAATTCATGATAAAAAAAACGATTATTACTATTAATAAACGAATTTAAACTGTTTTTTTTTGAAAAAAATATTAATATATAAATCGCATGTGTGTACTAAATTCAGACATTTATCTTGCTTTACTTTATGAAACTCTATCCGATTTGTGAATGAATTTATACTTTTTTTCAATTGTTTTATACAATGAAGTGATTATTATTATTGTTTAAATCAGTGTATAAGACATTGAACATGTACATTTAAAACAATATCTTTTCTGTATTGTTAAATTTTAGAAAAAATAAATTTTTAACAAAAAAAATTAGAAATATTAAATTATCAAAAATAAAATTTTACCTTTAATTGGTTGTATATATTCTGTGCACATTGTATTATATCCATAAATGCAATATCTTGCACGAAAATGAAAATTTCTTTGTAATTTAATTGGAATTTCTGTATACTGATTCCATGATAATGGTTTACAATCGCCTAATTCCACATATTGATTTTTCATTTCAGAATGAAATATCTTTTTATCGAGGATGATATAAGGTGAATAATTTAATAAAAAGTGTATAGAATTCCAAGAAATGGTACTAGTACTAGTACTAGTGCTACTATTAACATTGTTAGTATTACCTACTTCAACTTGAGCGCATAGAGCTGGATTACCTTTGGAAAATTGTATTAATTCTTTTGTTTCTTCTAAATATATAGGACCTGGGAGCTCAAGGTGGAAATCTTTAAAATTTAAAAAGAAAGCAGAACAAAGTATTCAAAGGATACTGAATAAATATGATATTTGTAATAATCGTTAAAATGTCTGTGTACGAGGTTATTCGACATATATGGTGTTTGCAGGGAAGTTAAAGTATATTTTATTTCAGTGATGGACATTTCAAAATAGGTAAAATAGTAATTATTCTTGTCTTCACTACTGTATTAATTGTCATATGATGGAGAATCGATGCGTATGATTTAATTCAATAAACATCCGAAAAGGCTTCTTCAAAGTTAGTTGCATATATATATGTATTTATTAGAGGACAGTGTTATATAGTGTTGCAGCTAGGTCGAGTAGAATTTTTTTCTTCACAATTCCTAACATATCAGGCTGTTGATAAAGCTTATATGAGCTCTTTTTGAGTACTAACCAATCCACACTAGCTAGTAAGTTCTCAGAAATAACGTTAATGAAAAATCACCCAAACTGTGTTTGACAATTATAAATAATATTAAAAGTAGCTTAGATGAGGATGAGAAGATTATCAACCTTAGTTAAGCGTCATATATCATCTTTTCATGAATCAATAGCTTATTTACATGAATAGTCTGTATCAGCTACATGAAAAGTAAATCGATTTGAACTATTGAATTCAAGATTAGTAACACAATATCAGTAAGTTAATGGTGTTGGAGATGGAAACAAAGTGTTTACAGGGAATATAACAAAACCATCTACCCATTTAAGTGTTACACAACTACGACAGAATAAAGGCTTCTATACTGTCTATAAAAACTGCATGTTTATTATTCAGTGACTTTACTAATGTGTTATTATAAAACTACAAGTTGGGTTCCTTATATTTCTCTAATATCATTTTTGTGTGCTGGTCATACTACTTAATTATATTTAGTAGCTACTTTAGATTCAAGTATTTTCTAATATGTATTGTTCCATGTATTCTCAAGACAATGAATGGGCAATCCAGTGAAACTGTGACATTATTTCAATACATCAGACTTTATAGTAGCATTCCTTTTTCTGTTTGTTGTTTATTTCTTATTATTTGTGTCCACGACCCCCACATGTGGGAATCGAACGCTAAACCTTCAGAGTGCTGAACTGGCATCCAACGGTATTATTGCTTAACTTTAACTATTCTAAACTATTGCACAACCTCACCCACTGACTTTAGTAATTAACTGCCTACACCCGAAAAGGATGAACTCCCTTGGTCACTGGAACTCTGAGAATTTCGTTACGTAGCTGGTCATTAGTGAGCACGTTTTTATGATCATCGTTATAGAGTTGTGAAGATTCATAATTTCAATGAAAGGTAAAAATCTTCACAACTCTATAGTGGAAGATTAGGACATTATTTTTATGAATCGATATCAACATGGTTTTCTGAATTTCAATCGCTAGATGTTTTGAGAAAATATTGTACCTTTAATTTTATTCATTTTCATGAGTAATCTTAAGAGCAATTTTCCGAAAATAATCAGGTCCCAAAACTTTCAGGCAATAGAAGACATTCAGATATAAATAAAAAAATTTCATACACCTCTTTCCTTTGATAAATATAAATAAAACAAGACTTACAATATTTTCATAATATGATGAATTCATTGTATTTCGTTTGGTTTCTCTTTAATTACATACAAACTTATGGCTGAATGATTTCCAGTCATTACCATAATGTTTAATTTAGGAAATGAATTGTCAACTTATGACGAACAGCTTGTTTAATGTAAAGGAAGTTGAGATTGAAGGTTTTCAAGGGATCTATTACATAATTACTGAAGTGAATAGTTTTGAAGTAGTAAAATAATTTCATTTTATAATTGTAACTGAAATCATTATGCAATGAGATGAATTTACATGTCTTCTTTTGCACACATGATCGTTAAATTTAAAAGATTCTTATTTAAACCATTAAACACAGTAGGTTCTTTTTTATTCGGGCAGACCTCATATCTAACAACCTTATAGTGAGTGATTCAATAAGTTTTATACATAAATCATCCTCAAATTTTTTCTGAACTGATTAATATAACTTCAAGCATTATGTAATCACTAATTAGACATCTAATTCTATGATCATTTATATTGTTATTTTACTCGCTCTATTTTGTCTGCATCTGATCTGTGAAGTGAGTTGAGCACAGACTACATGATCGTCACTTCAAAATTTTAACACAGTAACTTTTATGAACGAACATACAATGAATAATCCTATTTTCAAAAATACATTTATTTTAAAATAGCTTATGTCATTTTGATTGTTAATTTAGGCTTACTACTGTAGAATTTGATGATAATCTATTTAGAGATCGAACTAATCCCCGACTCAACCGAAATTCTGGATTTCGGAGAAGGAGCAAGCTGTAGAGTCAGACACGGTGGTATGTTTAGAGAAATTCCTGTTTCAGACTGTTCGGTTTTTATCCAGATCGAATCGTTCGGTCTAGATGGGACGAGCCAAAACGCTGACCACAAACTATGTTGTGAACAGTGAGCAAAGGTTGACACAACATCATGACACATTGTGGAATCATATCACTTGTTAGAACTGATACCATTGGACAACGAACGGCCTGGGGTAAACGCATCTATACCTTTATACGTATAGGACAGTAAGGTCCTATACTTGTATGCAGAAACTTCTACGCCTATATGCATTTAAAGAACTAGTAGAACTAGTCTAAACATTCTATATTTGTACATAACACATACTAGCCACAGCACCCATTCATGCCTATGTGCATGCTACTAGTATACATATGTATCTGACAGATACAAGTGTGCATAAGTCAAACTTGGGCGAAATTACCACGTCCCATACTAATTAATGCTTACCAGAGTTTTTAGCTTGTTTAACAAGCTTCTTAAATATGGTCGGAGGCATAACTAAACTGAGATAGACTGGCACAAGTTCTATCTTCTCCACTCGCAATAGAATGTCGTGAATTCAGCTGCCGCACATATATAGATATATTTAAGTAGACTGTTTTCATTAGTAAAGTTAGACTGAAATATCCCTAACTTTATTTTACTCTTTTCTTTTACTTTACAATAGCTGTTCTTTTTTATTTTGAAATGCTATCGGTTTCTCTTCTTGTGAGGCGGAGTCAACGAATCACATTCTCATTCACATATGTTTTTGTCACAAATTTTTTCATCTTAGAATTAGTTCTAATTATCTACTTTGATTTTTGGGCGTATAAACATTAACTAGCGAAAATACTTCTATGTATTTAAAACCGAATAGAATTTTAAAAATTACTTTTTTTAAGGGGGTGTCTGATGTTTCTAATCTGAAAACGTGAATTATTTATTTACTAATCAGAGAAATCGTGCTATTGTTGATTAGGTTGAGTTATATGCTCGTACATTATTTCGAAACATTTTATTAATCAGTTATTTGTATGTTTTCATAAAATGAGGAATATTTTGTTTTCAGAAATTATAATTACACTATATATCTAATAAATTGGTTTTTTGTTATTTCTAAAATGTTAATAATATACCTGAAAGATAGTTTTTTACTTTGATTATTCGTTAAAATCTTACAGTTGGCTATAGTCGTCTGTGCAAAAAAATGAAGATACACCTTAGTGAAGTGTAACAACATCAAGTACAATTTCCTGACAATTATTTCCAACACAAGGCAATAATCAGAAAGATAAGAGAAACACTTACAATGTTCTCTATTCATTCTAATTAGTTTTTAAAATATACTTCTTAGATTATAAAAGAGAAAAATCCCACAATACAGGATAAACCATGTATATACTACTACTACTATGATATGTCTGTCGAAAGCAAATAAGTTGTACTGAAATGTAACATTGGTTTGTTGAATGTAATTCTTATGAAGTTGTGTTTTTTTTGAATGGTATTGGTTTTAGAGTGTCGTTCAGTAAAAATTATGTAACTGATAAGTTCATGTTTTCTCCATTTGTTCAGAGAACATACTAGGAAGAGAATTAGAAAAACTAACTTCAAAGTTATTATCAAATGAATAGCCTAGTAATTTTATTAGAAAATACATATTTCGACCTAAAGGTAAGACAAGACCTATAAGTAAGACGTGGCATTCTTGAGTTAAAAATAATCGTACCTAATATTTATTGCTACGGTGATATATTGAGGGAGCTTCTAACACATCAGCTAGGCAGATACCTCAAAATGTTTTGTTATACTGATAAATGACAAATAACTCTTTCAAGGAAGTCAACGTTTAAACAATGGATCAGTGATAGGATACAAGAGACTGGATTATCTTGGTGTGTTTATCAATTTATTTATTCGCGTGTTAGCTACATTGGTTGGACTCAAAGCTTCTTATATTCACGCACATCTAAACAAGGACTGACATGATGAGGAAAAGGTTTTATGGAATTTATTAATAGTCTCATATTTTTCCACTCAATCCATTATAGACACAAGATTAAAAATTGAAGATACTTTCTCAGTTCTACATCAAATACCCTGTGTTCTATGCAACATTATGCTCACTCTACATAGTTCAAGTAATTGACATCAACTCAAATAAACCTAACTTTCGTATGTTCAGCATCTAAATATAACCTATTTATTCACTTTGGCCCTACATTCATCTTGTTTCACTCATACTTCAAATTTCGTCCCTTTCCCCATCATTATGAATTGCAACCCCTTATAGGACATTTTCTTTATCCTTCATTGCCCATTCATCTTTCTAATTTTGTATCATGTTCTTTTATTGTCCTTATTATATGATTATTAGTATGATTAGTGTTAAGCCATCAGCTTTTACTCAACAATCCCTACTGTGTATTGACTTGTGTTTACATGCAGTTTTAAATTATTGATTAGAATTCATAACCTTAATTAAGGCGTATAGATCTTCAGATCACTGTGGTTTATGACCTTTATTCAACCTTACTAATTACATTGTTTTATTTTGTTAGCCATTAGTTGTAGTATTTGAAATCATTCATTTGATGTGGAATTTGCCTTGTTTTGTTTTTGGTTTATAGCACTGATTAGTTCAAGTTTAATATTTTGTCTGGAGCAATATAATAATAACTCCCCCTGGAGCCCCTCTGTGTCTGCTTCTAGTCCGAAGTCCGTATAAAGGAGGAGGGTTGGGCATTGGGTTGCCGACCCCATCCCGTAGAAAACTAACGCGCTGTTATACTACTGCTGTTATTCTCCGGCCATGAAGAAGAAAATGCTCTCCATGCACAACGAGTTGCAATGGTGCTGTTCAAAGAACAAGAACATGAATCTCATGGACTCAAGATCAAAAAAACCTCCATCAAAACTAAGAAAGAGCGAATTACAATGAACGTCATTCAATGCTATGCGCACACCAACAATAACAGTAAGAACGTTAAAGATCAATTCCACGAGAGTTTGAAGTCGATCGAAGGGGAAATGCTCAACAAAGGACTTGATCATTCTTATGGAGGACCTAAATGCCAAGGTTTAATGGACAACACCGTATACGAAGTCATCGTGGGACGACATGGACGGTAAAGGATTCGCAAACCTATATGCCTTAAACAAACTGATCATAGGCGTTACAATATTCTCACATAAACGCATACACATAGTCACATGATTTTCACCAGATACCCTACACAGAACCAAATCGATCACATCTGCATCAATCAGTAGTGTAGAAGGACAATGGAGGAGGTAAAAATCAAGAGAGGAGCTGACATAGCTTCATGTCACCGGTTGGTATTGGTGACGATGAAAATGAAACTGAAGAAGGACTGGACAACTGGGTAAACAACATAAAAAAAACCTGATCCAGGCTTTCTTCGGGATGCTGACAAGGTCAACGAATTGAAGTTAGCCTGCAACGATAAATTCCAGGCTCTTCACAATCTATTCAATGGAAAGGAAACTACCATGCGGAACAACTGGAAGAATATCAAAAAAGCAATAACTTCAGAACTGCATGAGATCTTGGGCCAAAAGAAGCACAGTCAACAAGGAATGAATCTCTGTTAGTACTCTTGATAAAATTTAAGAATGGAAGAACAAGAAGGCTGCTATCAGCATCAACCAAACAAGAGCAGAGAAAGCTAACGCACAAGCTGAATACACTGAAGCAATCAAGCAAGCTCACAAACGTAAATTTGTGTAACATCTAGTTATGACGGTGGAAAAGGCTGCAAGAGAAGGAAAATGCGATAACTATATGATTCAACAAAGAACCTTTCTTGAGACTGTCGTAAACCAGAACCACCAGTGTAAAGCAAAGAAGGCAAAGTAATTAGCAACTCTGAAGAACAGAAAAATAAGTGGGTAGGGCACTTTGGGGAACTGTTGAATCGACTAGCCTCTCTGAACCCACCCAACAGCGAAGCAGCATTCGCGGACCGCCCATCAACAAATGCAGGGGTAAGTATGGCCATCAGACACATCAAGAGCGGCAAAGCAGAAGGACCAGACAACATTCCATCAGAGGCAATCAAAGCAGACGTGGAAGCAACTGCAAAAATATTTCACATTCTCTTCAAGAAGATTTGGGATGAAGAACAAATATCAACAGATTGGAAAAATGGATACCTCATCAAAATAACAAAGAAAGGCAATCTCAGCAAGTGTGAGAACTACAGAGGCATCACTCTTCTCTCAATACCAGGAAAAGTTTTCAACAGGGTATTGTTAGACAGAATCAAGGACTTCGGAGACGCCCAACTTCGAGATCAATATGTTGGATTTCATAATGGTCGATCGTGTACTGATCAAATTGCAACATTACGAATCATTGTGGAACAATCAATTGAATGGAATTCAACATTCTGCATCAACTTCATTGACTACGAGAAAGCATTCGATAGCGTGGACAGGAAAACACTGTGGAGGCTTCTTCGATACTACGGTGTGCCTGAGAAAATAGATAACATCATATAGAATTCCTATGATGGAATAAACTGCAAAATCGTACACGAAGGACAGATCACTGACTCCTTCAATATAGAGACCGGTGTCAGGCAAGGTTGCTTACTCTCACCCCTTCTGTTCATTCTGGCGATGGATTGGATTATCAGATCCTGAGGGGACGTACGGTGTACAATGGTCGGCTAGAATGCAGCCGAACGATCTGAACTTCGTAGATGACCTGTCTCTTCTATCACACACGCAACAAAGACCAATGTAGCAGCAACCCGAGCAGCAGTAGGTCTCAACATACACGAGGGGAAAAGCAAGATTCTGGGATAAAACACAACCAGCAATTAGCGAATCTTACTCGACAGAGAAGCTTTGGAGGATTGACATATCTGGGCAGAAAAACCAACGAGCGCGGTGGATATGATGCAGATGTGAAGGCGCGAATCGGGAAAAATAGGGCGGCATTTCTACAATCGAACAACATCTGGAACTCACAGCAACCTTCAGCCAATACTAAAGTGAGAATTTTCAATACAAATGTCAATATGGTTCTACTGTTTAAGGCGGGAACTTGGAGAAACGCGAAAGCCATTGTCAACAAGAAAAAAGTTTTTATTTACAGTTGTCTACGCATAACACTGAGGATCAGTTGGCCAAACACCATTAGCAACAACGTACTGTGGGAGAGAACAAACCATATTCCAGAGGAGGAGGAAATTAGGAAGAAGCAATGGAAGTGGATAGGACACACTGCGGAAAGTATCCAACTGCGTAACAAGACAAGCCCTAACCTGTAATCCTCGTGGCCAAAGGATAAGAGGAAGACCAAACAACATGTTACGCCAAGAAATGGAGACAGATATGAGAAGAATAAACAACAATCAGACAGAACTGGATAGAAAGTTCCAGAAGGGAGTAGGCTGGAGAATGCTGGTCGACGGCCTATGCTCCCACGGGTGTAACGGGAGTAAACGAAGCTGAGCTAGTAAAATAAGAACTCTAGATTCACAACTTTAGATACTAATAAAGCGATCGTAACCGATTGTATCAGTTATAACTGTTTCTTCCTGAAATAACAGTTGAACGAAAACTTTTGTCAGTACGAAAATTAATATTTAAATATAAATTTAAATTTGTTTAGTTTTTACGAGCCAGAAGAACATTATTTGCATTTAAAGTTCCTTGGTTTGTTGTGAGCTTCTTCACGAAAATTGTAAAAACTAAAATTGTCAAAAACAAATTTAATCATTAAAATATTTTTTGCTTACAATTACGCCTAGTCGTTGAATTTGGTTTATCGTATGAATGTGAGTCATTTACTGTTTTACTGATTCAAAGTGAATTACTTGACCTAATCAGAGCAGGTGTTATTGAGTTTGAACCGGTTAAATGCAATCACTGAAACAATTGTAAGTCTAATTGAATTTTTAAAGATTTTTTGTCTAGGAGACACCCAACTTGTATGGAACTATTTATTCAAACTGTCATAAAAATTCTTATTAAAAACAATTGATCAATTTAAAAACTGGACACTGTCGGATTTTTTTTCTTTTCAGACTTTTTCCACAGTATTTTCTATATGTAGAAATCATAAGTAACACAGGATTCAGCCTAATAGGTAATACCAGTTCTATCGATCATAAATGATATGAACTCTGTAAGGAATTAAAAACCAGTAGAAATGTGCAATGGATAATATCAATAGCAAACGATAAATCGAACTGTATTATCTTCAATTACGTACAGGTTTTGAATACACTTTTCTATAGTATATTTAGCGCAGAATATTTCAAAAAGCACTTATTTTCTTATACCCTACCGGTACAGTTTTTTTTAAAGTAAAAATGGTGTGTTTGACTTACTTTTCGTTTTGAAAGTCAGTGGTCTGGATGGTTTACTTTGTCCATATTTATTAATCCTTGATATTGTCACTGTGTAAAAGTGATTTGGAATTAAACCTAAATTTAAATTATAATAATAGGGTGATGGATGAATTTCGTTTTTGAACATAAAAAACATTGCAATAAAAAATTCACAAGCTAAAAATAAGCAAAACTATTTTCGTAGACTTAAAAGTAAAGTCTTATATATAATGTCATAAGCCTAGAAGGTAATAACTACTATTGTTGAAACTAGAAAAGAATCCTTGTAAAGTGACTAAATCCCTTAACCGAAAGTGTAAGCAATGCTGTCGTTAGGAAACGAGTTCTAGGTATGGATGGCAAATCAATAAATGAAGTAGTGAAACTTCATCAGTTGAGGTGGTTGGGACATGTGTTACATATGCCTAACCACCGACTGCCGCGACGAGCTATGTTTTGTGATGTAGGAGTAGGCTGGAAGAAAGCTAGAGGTGGCCAAACCAAAACATAGCACAAATGCATGAAGTCACTGACAAGTAGACTGAGTCATGTTGGTAGATGTAGGCTATCTGGTTGGGGTCCGCGAGACGAAAGTCACCAATCGTTAGAGACCTTGAATGAAATGGCTCAAACTCGTTTGCAATGGTGCAGGTGCATCCACTCTTTGTGTTCTATGAAATTCTAAATTTCTGAATTCCTCATAATCTCTACCTTTCTCCTTCTAAATTTATCTCACTGAATGATAGTTCTCGAATCATATCTTCGTTCACTAATCTTCTCCATTACTGCTAATACTTCTATCATCGCTATCACTCCTGGATTTGAACTGACAGTTGCGTCTCTGTGTTGATGTAGTATGCCAACCTGAACTGATGTACTTACGTACGAAGTTCTGCGTTATATCTGTCTATCTGTAAGCTTATTTGACTGTCCAGTACTAATGATAGAAACACTGAAAATGTCAAAATTCTTGCCAGTTAATGCATCATAGATTTGATGAGAAGATAAGTGAGTCTTTTACATATAAATAAAAGTAAAATTACTTCATATTTTGTGATCATCGTCAGAAGCAAGTGTGCCATCACTGGCTAACACGAAAATTCAGGAACTATTCGAGTTAGTTTCAGAATAAATAGCGAAGAAAGAAACCGGATAATAAAGAAAAAAGCAAATACTGTTGTAAGTGAAGGAGTAAAACAAGGAGTCTGCAGTAGTATGACTGCTATTTTTAGCCATTGGACGTCATAGCATCAGTAAAGTAATCATATAAATGAACAAATATATTCAAACTACTTACTGATATTAAGTAACATAGTATGAAACACAAAATAAAAGTACATAGAAATTAAATTCAGAAATAATGGACAGATGTAACATCTTCAGTAGGAATAAGGGAAAGCTAAGGGCGAGTAATATATATAATATAACAGTTAATCCGTTAAAATTGTATGTTCAAAACTATTCAGTGTAGCTTCTTTAACCTAATAAACTGAACTTTTGTAGTACTCATCCGATGAATACACTTCAGATCGTAACTAACTACTGAAAACACCCAAACTACCAAAACTGTAAATCCCTGAAAGATTCAGTGGCCAATTGATTTAGGATTAAAAGAACTATGGAAAAATTTAATCTAATCAGTAATGCACAAAACCTCTCCAGAAACATCTAAAACATGAGGGATAATATACCCACTTTAGGTTAAATGTACCTTGGAATAAGGCTTTTATCTCTATTTCGCAACTTTTCTTTGTCGCTTAACTTTAAGTTAAGAAGCAGTTTCAGGTTATGGGAAATGGCTAGAATTTAAACAGCAAAGTTTTCAGTTTATGGCGTTAAAGCTTTGCTAGTAATGTTAACTGTTAATACTAATTTCAATCCTTTAATTCGCATGATCTATATTCTTTCGCGACTGCCTACCCCTACTCTAAATTCACTTATTTTCTATATGCTTGATGCTTATGCTTCCATAACCACGCTTAATAAGTTGTGCTGCTTAACTAACAAGTTGCTTCAACGCTTTCTTTTTGTATTAAAGACTAATTTTTGAATTATTGTTTGCGAGCTGCCAAGTTTGTAATAGAATTGCTCAGTATTATCTTAACTACCGAGTATTGTAGAGTGACAGGAAACAAAAACATGACGAATTAATCAATTGACTTATCTTTAATAGTAATCCATCTTACCGCTTATATTGACGTAATTTTGCCCTTCAGTATTTATTAGAAATTTATTTTTTATTACATTTTTTTGTATTTGTTTTCTTTCTTTGACATTCAGCAAGTCACCATCATTTGTATGAACTGAAAATGGACTATTAAAGCGATTTGAATTGTTTAATGGCTTGAAAGACTCTGACAAATGTGATTGAGTTTCATTCATTAGAGCAGTGATTGTTCCACGATCTTCTAAATGAATAGAATATTGTTGTGTATCTTGAATTTTTCCCACCCAAATGGATAATAAATTTTGAATTTTCTGTCGAATGTTATTGACTGAATTGTTTAACAGATCTTTATGTAACCAGTTCACTGGAGAACTATGTAATCCACCTGGCTTCCAAAATATAGTTGCCGAAGTCCATGTAGACTGAATATGATACAAATCAGTAATAACTTGTGGAGAATCTATAAAATACAAAATTTATGATAGTTGGGATATATGGAAAACTAATTCCGCCTGGAGCCCTTCTAAGGATACTGCCGGTCCGAAGCCCGGATAAAGGAGAAGGGTTTGGTATGAGGTTAACAATCCCATCTTATAGAAAACAAACTTACTTAAAAACGCTAACCGGAAAAAAGTTTAAACCATTTGAACGCTTCCCTGGGAGTTGGATGATCTTCATTTAGAAGAGTTCCCACTTCTCATGGTGAAAACTGAGTTTCTTCAGAAGTCACGAGTCTGATGCCTCTTTTGACAATCAAGACAACCATTAATATAAGTACATGGAACGTTCTTACTTTGTTGGCGACCGAACGAACCATTCAGGTTGCTTAGAAGATGAAAAGATACAACCTGACACTGCTTGGAATGGGTGAAACACATTGAACGCAGGCCGGACAAAAGAGATTAACTTTCGAAGAGGTGATGCTATATTCTGACCATGAAGCGGAAAACACCTCTCATACACAAGGTGTTACACTACTGTTGTCCAAATCAGTTCAGTAATGATGGGAATCTTGTGGATTCAGGGTCATCAAGGCGTCCTTCAAGATAGAGAAGGAATGGATTACAGTGAGCAGTACTTACTTCTATGCAAAAGAAATGAGAACTACAGAAGCACCACATTACTGTCAGTTTTAGGAAGGGCTTTCGACAGCATGTCCATCAGAAAAACCATTTCAATTTCAGAAGGTTGGATTCCGTAAAGATCGATCATTTACCGACCAAGCTGCGACACTATGGTTCATTATGGAACGGTCAACTGAGTGGAAATCACCACTACATATCAACTTCCTTGACTATGAGAAAGCATTGGATAGTATGGACAGGTTAACTCTATAGAGGCTTCTTTGACAGTACCGTATACGTGAGATAAAAGTCACTATCTTACGGAATACTTATGGTAGGTTAAACTGAAAAATCATTCATGGAGGGTAGCTCACAGATGTGTCGCTAGTGAAAACCGGTGTTAGACAAGGCTACTTTCTCTCACTGTTTCTCTTCTGTCTGGTAGTTGACTGTATATTTGTGTTGAAGAATATGTACTTCCAATGTTTTAATGAACTAGTTATTACATTTGTTACCTAATATATCAGACACTCACTCTTTTCATACTCGATGATAATGGAAGCAGATTAGATGTTTCATTTTATTCTGCAACCAGTGGTTTCCAGTCATAATCTACTAAATCTGTAAAATTTTAGAACGGGCATGTGTAATCTTTCATACCTGTGGTTAAAGTGAGTATTCAGGCACAGTTCTGATGAAACTGTATTTATTACCTGTACAAACAACAGCATATACAACCTAAAACCCAGTATTCATGGAAATTGATCTAAATTACAACGGGCGTAATCTTAACTTATTTAAAAACAGTTTATGAAGTCTGAATTTAAAAGGGAAAACCTTACTTGGTTTCTGTATTTGACGGATTTCTGAAACGCTTCCTAATTCACTTTCTGATTGGCATTTATAATATCCGTAATCTTTTTCATCAAATTTCTTGAGCCAAAGCAACGTGAACATTGTAAATCCATAAGTTATTTTTTCCAAACTGTGAATAAGCATCTCGTAAGTTGATTGTCTTTCATTCATGGTCAAGTCAAATCTAGATGATGTAATAAATGCTGGAGTTCCGGTGATAATTATTAGACTGGATGTTTCCTGAAAAAAATGCGAAGTTAACAAGAGAAACAGTTGAGATCTTTTTATGTTTGATTTTAGTTACTGAAAAGTAAATAAGTAGTTAAACAGTATATTTGTATGCAGAAATTGTAGTCATCTTGACTTCGATACTTTCAAAACTTCCTACTTTTAGGAAGTACTAATGTTAAACATTTATTTTATGAGTACAACTTACAAAGATTTCACTGAATATCAACACATTCAGCTACAAACTACAGTGATTTACTTTACTTTTATTCAGTTGAATGGAAAACATAAATTCTTCCAAGTTTACAATTGATTTATTATTAAGTAGTGGTCGACGTCAAGCCTAGTGAACATGAAACTTATGTGCTGTGGTTACAACGATAACCACTAGTTCCTATGATGTTAAATAATACCGCGAAAAGGTATAAACAGATTGAGTTGTTTACTATCTAATATAGCTGGAAAAACTTTACTATTACACGAAATAATATTAGTAGCATGATTTAATAGGCTTATCAATAAAGTCAACTAAATAGAAATTTACTGAATGCACTGATATCCATTCGGCAGAAAAAAAGTCATACTTACTTCAGTATGAATGGATTCATTAAACTTTTCAGTTTTATGAATTAATTCCCACTGATTCAGTTTACTGTGTTCATTATAAGTTTTCCCTGAATATCTCCACCATTTGACTTGATTTAATATTGGTTTACCATAGAATTGACAAAACAATGGACCATGTAATTTGATTTCATTTCCAGTGTACTGATTTAGGTTTTGTTTGTTCATGGAGATTGATATTACTTCACTGAAGCTGATAAGTGAACTTGGTGTTTCTAATACAATCAGTAGTAAAAGAAACGAACTAGGAGGTGAGTATTGACTTAAAGATTAATAACATTGAATGACTGTTAAGAACTAAAAAGTCACATCAATTTCTTTTGCAAATCACTACTAAGGTTTCACATTATTTAAACTGGTATACAAGGTCAAGCTGCTTCTCTTATTGCTTAGCACTGAAGACTAGGATTTATTACCACTTTTCCCCTTACTGAATAAAATTAAGATTTAATTCATGAAGTGATCTTGGAGCGATAATCATTGTAAACTTGCAATCATTGAGAATTTTGTTCAGCATAGTATGAGAATTTTCAGAAGTGCTCAACCTCGAATTCGCACGTGGAAATCGAACCCGGAACCCTTATTTCTGCACACGAACACCTAAACTCTAAACCAGTGAGCCAGTATCTAACAGTGTTAATGTCTAATTCACGTTATTACACAATCTTCTTTCAATGCATCTACTGAACAGTTGTCCAACAAAATATGGCCGGACTCCATTGGTTACAGCTACTTTCTGTAACTTTAGGAGTTAGCTTTTGAAGATAGCCACTGATAAATACATGATTGAAGTTGCTCATCATTATGGATTGGTTAAAGTTAGACATTAACACTATTAGATACTGACTGACTGGTTCAGAGCTTAGGTGTTCATGTGCGGGAGTAAGGGTTCTGGGTTCAATTTTCCTGTGCGAAGTCGAGGTTGAGCACTTCTGAGGAGTTTCATACTATGCCAAGTTTACAATGGCGGTCTAGCTGAAATTATTTCATGATTTAAAATGTGAAAGTTTTACTATCTATAATAGTCTTGCATATTAAAATTCAAATTATTCGCCATTGGTATATAATGATTCAATATAAAGGATTCAGTATAAAACGTTCACCGATGTTTACTAATGTTTAGTTTATGTAACGAATGGAACTTGACTGTTACTAAATATAACTTGGCATGAATACAATATGATACACATTAATAAAGAACATGTAGTTCCGTCAAGACTTCAGACAACCTTTGAAGATGAGTGCCAAATCGTACCGGATTCCAATTCAAAGCTTTCTGTTTAACTTTTCTAAAAGAATTCTACGTATCTTTAATACAAAAATTCCACTAGAAACTAATAACCATATTGTAAGCTAAGTGTGGTTAACGGGTAAATTTTAAGAAACTTTGATTATCTTTGCCGACTTCAGATATTTTTGCAAAACTTCAGGTGTTTATTCTTTATCCGTGTTCTCCCCATTTTCTACCAATTAGCTCAATCAAAGCCCATAAGTATATTGTGTTAATATCAGAGCATTATATTAAATTGGTTGATCCATAACTTGCCTCACATAATGGACAAACGGATTAAAAGCGTTTTCTTTATTTACAAAGAATTTTAATTTTGATAAATCTCTCCTATAAGGGAATCAAGATAAAGAATGGATCTATAACAAGAAGTTTCCTCACAGTAACTGTAACTGTAAGCACAGAAACGAATTGCAAACAAACAGTTTCAGATATGAAGTTTATTATCAGATCAATAATTAAGTGTTCTACCTCAGGAAGTTTCGGTTGAAAACTATTTCGTTTACACGTAATAGTATGATATGTACTACTTACAATGAGGCTTATAAGTAGCATGCGAAAGATGTGTTGCAAGGAATCGCCCTGAATGTTCGGACGAGACGAAGAGTGATGGATCTGGATGCGTGACGCGATCAAAATGGCTTGAGGAACAGAAGACCTATGAAAGAAAGAAGCTTGTTTTGCAAATGTATGTTTTATGATAAGGTGTTTAGTAGTATAATTACATTCAGTTCAGATCTTAATATATGCATAAACTCTGTATGTGGAAGTTACCAATTTAACGGACTATACTCACTTTGAACGCTTAAAGTAATCAATCCATGTTCAGTTCCTAAAGAGTTTGACGATTCACACAAATAATCACCTTCAAGTTGAAGAATTATTAGAAACTCTAACAGCTGTTTTAACATTTGATAATCCCAACTATATGGTATCAATTTTCCAGGAAATTCATCAGTTAATTTATTGAAAATTCTATTTAAGGCGTTCTTAATATATGACGTAATATTATCGGATTGAAAATTTAATGACGTTACAATTCGCCATAAGCCAAATCTATTTTTCATCATTTGATATTGCATCCATTGTTTTAATACACTTCGGTTAATAGTTGTAATTGTACTAAAATCATCCATATTTTGATAAGAGCGAAATGACCATTGAATATCAGGAGATAAACTCGATATAAATGTACAACTCATATTGTTATCAGGGATCATTTGTATGGTGTATTCTAAAAAATTTTGTATCTCATACTGTTGATCGGTTGTTTTTTGTTTGAATAAATGAGGAGTTTGAAATTCAAGAATCATTTTTCTATTTGATTTGTTTGTTAGCACAGGTTTACCTAATGAATAGTTAGAAAAGACAGAAGAAAAATACTTAGTGTGAGGAATCATTTTCCTTTAGAAATTTACCATGTAGCTTGACTGTTTAGAATTATCATGGAATATATGAATGTTTTGATTTGAGTGAGTTATTTTCATACAATTCATAAAGTGAAGTGCACCTATGGTCTGGTATTTAATACTCAATAGATCTGCAAGTCACGATCGCTTATGATAAAAAAGAAACATCAAAACCATACGAACCTTTCATCAAACATATCTTAGTGAATAACAACGTTAGCGCGAATGAAACTATTTAAAATGTTTCCATGGTATGAGAGGAGAGGCCATGGATAATATTGTTAACGTGTTAAGGATAATTTTTAATGAGAATAACATAATTTTCATTGTATAACTGTCCAGCTAGAATATAAAACTAATCAAAGCAATCATTAGTTGTAATATGTCTTTATAGCTTTTTTTAAAATATTCGTTTGGTTTTTCTTTGTCACATTTGATATCAACTAGTCTAAACAGATCGAATTTCCCCTAATTAAAGGATAACATTAAAAGATAGATGGTTAGACGAATTCGGTCTTGAGCTTGCCAACTTTACAGCATATGGTTTATTTCAATTATCACAACTTTACTCCTCATTTATAGCTATCCAATTCTTTAAAAATAACCACTGTAATTAAGTAGTATGGAGAAATTAGACACATACACCATTGGATATCAGCTCAGTAGTATAGCAGTTAAGCGTTCTTTTCAAAGCCAAAGGTCTTACGTTTGTTTCCCGAATAATCATAAATGCTTAATGCTGAGTCAACTTACACTAAAAGAAAACAGTTTTAAAGTGTTTCCTCATTTTGAAATCATATCCAACTTAATGCCATTCATGATTTCGATCACATCAAATAACATGTGCACAAAATACCACTGTACTCATTGTAAGATTCATTGAAATTTATCAATGAAAGTTTCAAAACTAAACTCAGTCGTAAGCAAGTAAGCAACTTATTTTATCATTATATATTAATCACAATTTAACAAAAAACAAAACAATTAACATACTGTTAATAAGGATATTTACAGATGCTAATTGACTTGAACCAAGTTCATTTCGAACAAAACAACTGTATAGGCCAGAATCAAATATACTTAAATTAAATAATATAATTGTAAAACATTTCGACTGTGCATCATATTCATAATTGAAAAATTTATCGATAATTTCCGTTGTTTCATTCATTCCAATTGATCGAAGCCAATGAAATGTTGGACGTGGTAGACCAGGCGCTATTATATATATATATATACATCAATTCAAAAGAGCATAAACAAAACTGTGCATGGATGTATTTACTCAGTTTATTTTATTTAAAATTCACAAAATTACAACCTAGTTATAACATATATTCAAGATAATTGATGAATACAGGTAATTTGGATTACGGGGTTGTGAAGATTGTTAAGTTACACATTTTTTGAAACCATGAATCGATCAATGTCAGACCACCATTAGAAACCTGGAAGCACTGGACGGCCGTTTCGTCCTGGTATGGGACTCCTCAGTAGTACGCATCCACGACTCCTGCAACCCGCAGGATTAGAACCCAGGACCTTCGGTATTGTGCGCGAACGCCTAACCATCGGACCACTGAGCCGATATCTAACGGTGTTAATGTCTAACTTGATCAATTCATGGAGTTGCGCAACCTCATACACAGTCTTCGGTAGTTACTGTCTACAAGTTGAACTTCACTGGTCACGTCTTCCCACTAGAACTCGGAGAAGATTCCTCACGAAGCTAGTCACTAGTGAGCACAGGTAATTTGCATTAGGGGGTTGTGAAGATTGTTAAGTTACACATTTTTGAAACCAGGAGTCGTGGATGCGCACTGCTGAGGAGTCCCATACCAGGACGAAACGGCCGTCCAGTGCTTCCAGGTTTCTAATGGTGGTCTAACATTGATCGATTCATGGTTTCAAAAATGTGTAATTCATGAATAACAATATTACATAAAGTATGTATCGATTGTTTGTTTGTCAAATAAAAATATTCGCACATTTTCTAAACATGATTTGATTTTCAATAATATAAATTTGCAAAGCTGTTACCTGAAGAATTTTCTTGACATCGTAATATAATGTATTCTTCACCATCATTATTAGTTGAATGTACTACAGTTAAAGTGGGTTGTCCAGGTGAGTCTGAATTTGCAAAATTAATTTCAAAAGAGATTCATATGAAGTACTTAAGGTTTAATAAAAATATTTTAGGAAAATAGTGGTTGAAATAATAATGCATAACGAGAGTGGTGAAAATATTTATCTGGCTTTAGGATTCATTGTTCTGTACAATATGACTGTTTTTTTCATGGAAAGAAACCATTTATTCGGAGGATTTCTAAATTTATTCTCACCAGGATCTAATTAAGTACTAGAAAAAACTTTGGACGATATCTTTCCTCACCTTGTTTTATACTAATTTATGCGGAGTAATCAAAAGGAAATAAAACCAGCGAATGACCTTGGATCCGATATTTTACCTATTTTTCTTTCTGCGCTAAACATGAAAGTTAAGAAATTAAGGGAAAACAGTATATTGAAGTGAATGATTCAGTAAATAACCTTAAGAATCGATAAACAGTCCATTAACCTTAGGATATTGTTAGGGATGTTAGATCCCCATATCTCGCTTCATAAATATCTTTGTTTTGGATCTATTTCATCGACCGATCAGTTGACCTTCACATCACATTTCCCAACAGGAAAATCCTTGACTGTGATTGGTTACTGTGTCATTATAGTGTGCTATTGTCGTGACTGTCACAAGGACGTCTCTACATAGTATCAATAAACGCGGTTTGAGTGCTGACTGGGTGTTTGTAGAATACCGTTTCTTCTCTATATCAAGACTTCTTGCTGGTATAATTCGGACAATCGGATCACAGTAGCCTACCTGAACGCTGGTTCATTATTTTGTTCTCGTAATTCGACTAAGGTGAACCCATATTATTTTTAGCATACCTAGAGACGAGCGTAACAGATATACAATTTAGAAGACCTAGAAAGTTGCAGCATCCTTTACAGTCCATGTTTCAAAAGGTCACCATACATAATCGTGTATTTGCTATGATCATTTCAGCAATATCAACCAATTATTCTAAGCTTACAGTTTATGGTTAAATTAACCGCAGCAAATGCTCTAGATCTTTGTTTCCAAATAGACCATATTTCATCTGAAGTCGATAGATTTTGTGATAACCATAGATCATGTGGCATATAAATTTCAGTATTTGCATGACAATAATATTGTCCTGTATGATATGGATAGGTATAAGGAATTTTCAAGACAGAACCATCTATTCGATTAGATTGAAACCAATGTGAGGATAGTTGATTAGTCATTATTGTTTGATTAGGAAATTTATTATAAGTCCAGTAGATTGATGAAACAACTGGATTCGCATCAACACGACAAGCTATTTCCAATGCTTCACCTTCATTCACAGTTACTTTTGATTGAACATGAACAGTTGGAGGATCTAGGTGGGAGAAAGAAAAATTGTCAAGTAGTTATTACTATCTTACATTAATTGGATAGATAGTATGGTGTCTTGCAAAAAACGCCTTGGATACATAATCACATCTGGACATTTCGTTTTAGTCGAAATTAAACTAAACTACTCTTACTTCGTAAAATCTCTACAAATTTATTCAAGGTAGCAATTTAGTGAATAATTTTGATAGCATTTCTAAAAATTAACATGTACTGAAATTAAATGTCTTCCAATGGATGATGGTCGTACAGTAGTATCAAGATGTGATAGAAATGTTAGTGCAACCGTTAGATAATAGCTCAATGATCTGACAGCAAAGTGTTCGCTGAGAAACCTGAACGTTTGATGCAAGATTCAATATGTGGTTGTGAACAATCACCATTGAGCGATCCTATGCTAGAGTGAAGCAGCTATTCTGTACTTCATGATTTTCAATAGCTTTCTAGCTAAAATCTGTGTTATGGAAATAATTAAATAAAACTAGTTGAAACTGATGATACGGGTGATTATAACAGATCTTCATGGGCTTATATAAAGTATAAACCTCTCGTCACTTAATTTTGATTAAGAGATTTGTAAAAGCTGAATTTTTTTATTGGGGATCAGGAAAACTTTATGAAAAGAGATGTATGAATTTCGAGAGAGAATGTTGTAGAGAGAATGTATTCATCTATCGTCAAACTCGATTGCTTATGTGAAACTCAAATTTTATCTCAATAAAAAATTATGAGTTAGAATATTAAGCACTTACACAATACATCTATCAACAGCTTTTGAGTATTTTCTCCAATTTTATTTACAGCTACACAGTTGTATAGTTTTGGGCCATTTCTGTTCACATAGTGAACATGGAGTAAAGAGTTGTCTGAAATAAAAAGAACATAATTTAATCTAACTGTTTAACTACAATGAAAGAAGATTGAAATGAATATATTATGTACAGAAATAACGGGTTATCGTGTGGATGACTTTTCTTGAAACACTAATGCGCGAACTATGCTTTATTAGTGAGAAATAATCGCTAATCGATAACAAGGAAATATGATGTCGTTTGACTGTAAACTGCTGAAATTCATTTGTGAGAGATTGTTGAAAACTCGTAAATCAGAATTATAGAAATCTAGTTACTTTTCTGACCTCTATGATTATTCTATGAGAAGTGAATTGTTACGATCCTCACTAGATTTCTTAAAGAAAATGTCCTTAAAAAAACAATAATGAACAATAATCGACCATTTTTTGGACTATTCTCTGTCAGATATCACAAGTTACAGTATACTTCGAAACGTAAAGTAGAAATTTAAAGTATGTTGTTTAGGATTAAACTAGTTTGAAGTGTCGAATTTCTGATGAAAACATCTCATCTAGTCATACTTCTGATATAAACTTGCAAGGACTTTGGAACTTATTTTGTTGCATAGTCTTTTATTGAAATGATCAGCCTTCATTGGTTGAAATAGGTTAACTGAATTTTCGAGGTACTGAAGCAACACTAAACAGAATCTAACAAAGATGAAAATAAACGTTGTAAAAATACAGAATCATTCAACGTCATGGTATAGTTATGCTGTACTCGTCTCTAGGTATACTTAAAACTAGTACGGGATCACCTTAGTCGAATTACGAGAACAAAATAATGAACCAGCGTTCAGGTAGGCTACTGTGATCCGATTGTCCGAATTATACCAGCAAGAAGTCTTGATATAGAGAAGAAAGTGTATTCTACAAACACCCAGTCAGCACACAATCAATCCAAGCACTCAAACCGCGTTTATTGATACTATGTAGGTCAACTGATTGTTTCATGAAATAAATCCAAAACAAAGATATTTATGAAGCGATTTTTGGGGATCTAACATCCCCAACAAGTTATATACAGCCAGTAGTTATAATCACTAAGAGACATTTCAATTGAATGGATGTGAGACACTAGAGATACAAAGGCAAACTACTGGTCTCGAAGATGTTATTTTTCTTTAAGCATACATGCTTAAATTGTTAAATAAATAACAACTGGTTGCCAGTAATATTTTAAAAGATTGTTTTCTGTTTCTTCTAGTGATACAGAAGTGTATAGAGCGTAGTAGTAGTCTTATCCTTATTCAAGCACGTATATGTTCAAATTAGTAAGGTCGTTGAGTTTACTTAAACGATAGAAATTGTTATTAATAATAATTCACCCTTAGTTATGTGTTTATTTTGATGGTTCTCTGAGTACCTATGGTTAAATGCATGTAATAGCCTACTCATATATTTTTTGTATCCAGTTAGATATAATTTGCTTAAACGTTTGAGATTTACTCTCATAGAAATAAATATTTACTTGTTAACTGATATCAATTGATCCATTCGTCTCTCGTATATTTTCTAGTCATGTAGTTTGAGGTGTTTAATGAAATAATGCTTTCTGTCTACTGCCTTTCGCCTTTCTGAAGTTACAAGCTGTTTGAAATTATAGTAAATCGATATGCGAATCATAGGAATAATCAGACTGACGTCAGGCAGAAAAACCCTATAAGCCGGCGAGAATACCAACTCTATATGTTTCGTCTCAGACTGATGTTCCTCCGAAGTACACGCTAATCACTCACCAGAGATTTAAAGTGGAAATTTTTCCTGACATGCGCCACTTAGTTGGAATCGCATTTTTTTAAAGATTTAACCAATTCACAACAATAGTGTAAGCTGTATTTACTTTCAGTAAGAATAACTATCTTCTTCCTAAATTTATTGCATTCTTCAAACATTTTTCATTCTTACATTGCTGAGATAAACGTTTAAAACAAAACAATGTTTACATAATAATTAGAAAACTTTAAAGTCATCAGTCATTGACGAAAGGTAAATCATTTTTCATTACTTGAAACTATATTTTTATTTTCATCGATCCAGTGAATTCGATCTGGAGGATTTGCTTTACTCTGACATAATTGTTTGAATGCGGTTGTTTCCAAAACACGTATTGGATTAGATTCAAATGGATATATTATTGGCAAATCTGAAATAAAAATGAATCAAAAGTGAAAATTACAGAAATAAATGTAGGATAAGAGTCTGACAGGAATTATGTCGATAAAAGCATTGTACTGATAATGTTGTGTAATAAAATGATGTACTTTGGGTATACAATGTAAATATATACACACAATCAAATATATTATAATTATATGAATTTACCCCAAATGGACTAGGATAGTTTTAGAATGATTTTCAAAGTAACCAATCACTGTCCAGGTGTTAACTCTACAACCTCAACAGTACAGCACAATCCTGTAGCGTGATAACGCACGAACCTGTTACTCTAGTGGACCATTCACACCATTTATGTACATCAATATTATTATTTCCCATCCATGATCGTGTCAATCAGTATGAGCAGTACGATCAGGCCGATTAGACTCATCTTGCTTACATGACTGTCAAATTCATCATTATAAGCAATAGCGGTATACATTTTAGCATCCCAATGACAATGGTCAATGTGAATGTTAGTAGGAAACCACCAGTATAATAAATGAAATCGGTTATTCAGCAAACCTGATTTATGTATGAACAATTAGCAAAACTCGTCTAATTAATTCCAAACCATCCTCAATGTTCATAATAAACCTCTAGTCTCATCAGAAACCTTCAGCTGCTTACAACAATATAGCTCATACCCTTTGTACAACCAAACATAAATGGTATAATTTTTAAATCAAGAGTTAAGCTTTTTCAAATCGTCTAGTTATCTAGTTATTTAGTACTAGTATTTACTGAGTAAAAGATTTCAAGTTTAATACAATGGCACATAGCTAACCAGTCACAATGTAAAGTAGTCTACTGTTTATTACAATCCTTAGTTTAAAAGATTTCATGTAAACATTCATATGTAAACTACCTTAAGAAATGATGATTTAAAAATTTACTTCAAAAGTGTAGATCTTTTTTTAAACAAAAGAGGAATATTTGTAAGGTTTACCTATGGTTAGATTAAATTAAATTAGAAAAGTATTTGATAATCTGAAATTTACATTACAATAGTAGAAAAAAATTAAATTAAATGATTTATTTGTTTAAATGTATAAATAATAACTTTGTGTTGTGAATGAATACAATTTAGAAATGTTAGAAAGCAGCTGGATGTAGATTGGTGCTTTCGGCGAGAATAAAGGTAGAATGTTTTATTGACTGTAAAGTAAGATGTAAGCAATAAAATAAACACAAAGATCTCAGAGTTCTATTCGAATCCCAGTAATTTAATTCTTATCAAGACTAGAAAAATGCATAGAAAGCACAAATTGTCATAAACAGATCTTAATAAGCTTTCTTTTAATCGCGTTGTGACACATTCATTAAGTATCATCAGCTAGACATGTAACAAATTATTCTGCAGGATTTCATCCAGAAAATGTATTAACAGATCTGTACTCAGTAATTATCTCTTAATTAGTCCTATCTGCTTACACTACTTATCTGTTAGTAGTATATTGTTTCCGTCGTTTGTTTTATTAACATTAGGAAGATACTGATTAGACATTGAATACCTTCTTACCTAACTAAAATAATGAAATTTTATGCAAAATATTGAGTTTTTTCAGGGTAATTACATTAAGTTGAGTTTGATAAAACACGATCATTATTCAGTGACATATTAGGTCAGAGTATACAACGAAATACGATAAATGATAAAAAAAATAAGCACCACTAACGGTATTGATGATCGACAAATGAATTGTTTTTTCCTCGCATTTTAAGGACAAATTAATTAACAATTTTCATTTATTTAAACAAACAAAAATTGACATTTAAAAAATGTTTTCGTTTCTTTGTTTTATTCTGCTCAAATTTCTACTAAGTTAAAATATCTGTTTTTGTTTAGCTTGTCAAAAAAAAATTCCATCCTATTTTTCCTTGTTGAATATAAAAAAAATTTGATAACATAATTATCCTGCATTATATGGGTCATTGTTAAGTTCAACGTTATCATCATCATAATGATAATAGTAATTAAATTTCGACATGAAATAAACTCTATGTATTTGACTCATATTATTCTGATAGATTAATTGAGACAAGAATCTATGTGAAATTTATTTCATTCAATAGACTGATGATGATGTATTCAGTATGTGTTTTTGATTGTGAATGTAATGAATTTAGTTTGGAATAGTGAAAATGAACGTTTATATTAAGGAGAAGTGTTATCCATAGTCAGTCAGTCAGTTGCAATGTAGAACTACGTACATATGTACATAAGTTCATGTTGCCATACCACATTAACACAGAGACTCAAATGTCAAATCAAATCCTATTGTGATAGAGATAGTAGGGGTTATAATGGTAATAAAGAAGACTAGGGTTTGAAGATATTATTCAAGAAGTATAATTCAGTGAGATAAGGTTAGAAAGACAAAGGTAGAAGTGCTGACGAATCCAGAAGATTAGGATTCGAGAGAGCACAACGAATGTATGCACTGGCGCCAGTGAAAACGATTTTGAGCCATATCGTTCAAGGTCTCTAACCATTGGTGAGCCCAACCAGGTAGACTACATCTACCAACATAACTCAGTCCACTTGTTAGTGACTTCATGCATTTCTGCAATGTTTTGGTCTGGCCGCCCCTAACTTTCTTCCAACCTACTCCTGCACTACAAAACAAAGCCCGTCGAGGCAGTCGGTGGTTAGGCATACGCAACTCATGTCCCAATCACCTCAACTGATTAATTTTCACCACTTCATCTATTGATCTGCCATTCTTACCTAGCACCCGTATCCTAACGGCAGTATTGCTTAATCGGTTGTCCAAGGACACACGAGCAAGGCTTCGAGGACACCTATGATCAAAAACAAGTAACCTACGAATATCTTCTATTCTTACTGGCCATGTTTCGCATCCACAAAGTAGGATGGAGCGAACTGCTGTGTAGCACACTCGTCCTTTAGTCAGCAAACGGATATCTCGCCTGCGCTCTAAATGACGAACGTTGTCAAAAGCCAACCGAGCCTTCTGTATCCGTGCTGAGATTTCGTCAGTCACCAGGTAATCAGCACTGATGAGACTCCCCAGATAAGTGAAGTGATCAACACGCTCGACTACTTCATTCCCTATCACTAGTTCAGGTGCAGATGCAACCCAGTATTGAAGCAACATTTTACATTTCGACGGGGAAACCCGCACCCCAAACATGATTGCATTGTTGCTTATGGTAGTCAGAAGACTGCGTTTTGTCAGCGTCTTCACCAAATAGAACTATGTCATCGGCATATTCTAGGTCAGTAAGCGATTAGTGTTATCTATAGAGTGAAAATTACTAAATCCAGTGAATTTTATTTAATTCTTAATATGTCAAACAGATATATTTTTATGCGAACAAATGGCTTCACTGATATGAGAACCTGTGAAATGCAAGTATTTTTCATAAGACGCTCATAAATGCTCATGATACAATAACTTTACACGTCAGAAACAAGCGGAATTACGGAAATGTGATGTATTTTACTTGATTCAAATGACTCCATTGAAATATGCTCATTGAAAGTTGAGTGACTCAATTTTTATGAAGTTAAGGGAATAGACTTCGATAGAGAGTTTGAAGTTAAATAAAACATCAGCTCACACTACCTTGATCTTTAATGATTTTGCAGTAGATATCAACTAATTATCCAAATAATCATACATTATAGCCATTTTAAAGTGGCTTTCTGAGTTCTAGTGAGAAACTATGGCCAGTGATGTTCGGCTGTAAGACAGTTAGCCGTCAAAGACAATGGGGAGACAGTCGTGCAATATTGTGGATTGTTTGAGGTTGGACGTTAACATCTTTGGATGGTAACTCATTGGTCTATAGGTCTAGCAGTGGTGAGCAAGACTGAAGGTGTAACTCCTGTTTGAGGTTCGTGGATGAATACTCCTATGGAGGCTAATACTGAGATAAAGCTACAACGCAATGCTTTTAGGTGTTCAGTAGTGGCCTGACATCTATCGGTTCATGATTTCAAAGAAACTCAACAATCTCTACAACCCCATCCTGAGAATAAAGCACGACATTATGAAATCAGTTTACTTAATAAATTTTTATTGGTAAAGAAAGATAAGGATGGCAAATCATTTTTTTAAAATGGGATGTGGTTCCCTAATGTATTGACTAGATTTTTAATAATATAAACAGTTTTAAATGTACTTCATCAAAATGTATCATATTGTAGATACCTATGAAAATTTTCTCAATATGTTGGTATTCAGATAACAGTCCACTGATAATATCTTTAAGTACGTACAGTGTAGGTATGAAAGATAAATAACAATCGGACGAAATAATTGTTCCGATAGTATTTCAACTTCCAAATACAAAACTAGTCTTATGGAAAGTCTAATTTATCAAAATAAAATTTGCTCTTATAAAAACATTGAAGGATTACCGTACGCTCAATGCAAATTGATTAATAGCAATGAATTTACAACCTAATTTACAGTTTATTAATATTTTCTTCATTCATTTTTATTCATTCCAAATTTTACGTCAGTTGGAAAACATAATTTTCAAATACTAAACATTCCTTTCCTCTATTTATCCCCTCACACATGCACACACAAGGATGATTAGGATTTTTGATTTTAGACAGTCTGATATTGGATGTCAATTCGTAATGTAAGTTCAGCTTGTCTACAGATTACTCTCAAATATGTCAATGGTTATTATGTTCCTTTGATGATCTATTAAGCCTTATGATACAGGTATATAATGTTTACTCAAATATTTTTCAATAATTAGAAATTAACTCAATAAAACTTTGGACATGCTTGTCCATGTTTGTCCAGTGGAAATACAATATACTCTTATAATTGCTTCGATTAGAATGAATCATTGTATTATGATAATATCGGATATGGCATTAAATTTATTTTATGACCAAACATTAGATGAACGTAAATTGTTCATTGTCATGTTTCAAATTTTCATGTACGAAAATTACAATTTTTGACCAGATTTACATTTTGTTTGACTTTTGTTTTTTTTACGAAATTTACATTTTATTATGCAAAATAGATTATAAAGTTATATTTAGAAAAAAAACTCATTTGTCCGTAAAGTGATTGTTGCGGTGTTTCGTTCTCTGAGCTGGATCTCTCGGTTGTGGAGCTTTCATTGTTCTTCTGAACAACAACATCATCAGCACAAACTTTGGATAGAAGTGAAGCATTCAAATTTCTCCACGTTTGACCTGTAGCTTATTCTGCTAACCACGATCTTGATTGGTTGCTGTTGACCTAAAAACCTATCGTTCATTGCACCTTTGTTTTGATTGTATCCTCCTTTTGATCTGTTTCTTGATCCTATGTCGCCTATGATTTTGATGATTGATCGATAAATTGGGTCACTATCGATGTGTCGATATGATTAAAATTAAACTAATTTCATAATTGTAAACTTGGTCATAAAAGAAAGTTCAGTTCAGAAAGTCAATTATCATTAGAGATGTCTCCTTATAAGTGTGATCATTTTATTACCCGTTTCCTGTAATTTATTGTAATATACAGTTAACATCCTGTAAAATTCAAGTCTAGTTTCATGTATTATTTTGTTGCTAACTAGTTAAGGTGAATACAGACGCAAACTTTTAAGTAGCCTTTTATATTAAAGCTATAAAAAATCTACTTAGAGAGTGATGAAAAAAATTGCTGTGTGACAGTAAGTTCAGTGTTTTACCAAACAACTTTTTTCTAATCGGTCAAGATTCTTAATGAAAACCAAAATGATCTAGTTGTCCAAGACAGGCATTAACTTAGTGATCGTGTAGTGAAAATAACACTAATCAGTTGTATAATTTCTGCAAGTTAATTTTTATCTAAGTCCATTGACTATCTGAAGGACTTTGCTGATGATAAATTCATGTATAATTAAAGTGTAAGCCATGGTACCCATGTATTAAAGCACAAAAAATATCAAATAACTGAACAACTCATAAGTTTATTTTTTTTCTAGGGCATACAATACATTGTTGCTAGTTGGATCCTGCTCTAGTTTTCCTATGTGGTTATTGCTTTAAGCGTATATCTGTAAAGTGGGTTTATGTAGATGGTATTATATTCACAAATGAAACCACGAATGGATCTTAACTTGGTCGCCAATGAAACCATAGAAGCACTGAACAGCCGTTTCACCTTAATATGGGACTCCTCGATAGTGAACACCAACGAGCTCTGCACGTGTAAAATAAACCCAGGATCTTTGGTCTCGCACAAAAACGCTCAACAACAACGAATATATATACATATATATATAATCATCAAAGTACTCAAAACAGTTTGTCAAGCAATGGCACTTAGTGTCATACTCGTCTCTATCTATGCTTAAATCTATTACGGGTTCACCTTAGTCGAATTACGAGAACAAAATAATGAACCAGCGTACAGATAGGCTACTGTGATCCCTTGATCAAATTGTACCAGCAAGAAGTCTTGATGTAGCGAAGAAAGTGTATTCTACAAACACCCAGTCAGCACACAATCAATCCAAGCACTCACCCGCGTTTATTTATACTCCATAGAGAAGTCCTTGGGACAGTCACCACAATAGCACTCTAAAATGACACAATAACCAGTCACAGGCAAGGCTTGTCGTGTTGGGAAATGTGATGTGAAGGTCAACTGATCGGTCGATGAAATAAATCCAAAATAAAGATATTTATCAATCGAGTTCTGGGGATCTAACATCCCCAACACTTAGTTTGTCCATCAGACAATTAGAAACTGTTATTTAAAAGTAGAAACTAGGAATATCAAATCAACTGTACTAACCATTACAAAAATATTACAAACGGTATAACATGAACGAGTGTTCAAACACAGGATAAATGTTAAAGTTTCAAGAAACAAACTTATTTAAATAATACTCTTTAAAATTGCACATGACTAGAGAAAGAATGATCTATCTGAATGCACATGTAATGTAGTGAAGGTACAAGTAAAGTGAAGAAGAACAAACACAAAGGAAGGAAAGGCTTGCTAAAACTAATGGATAGTAAAAGCATCTTTTTAATACAAAGGCTACGGTTCTTTATTCAAATTCACATTACCTTAAGTGTATGTCAGTGGATAAATCCAAAAGTTGTTTGGTAAACTAGAAGGACTATTGTGAACGATTCTGAATACTTTTATTTTATCGATTTAATAATAGATTTGATTTGATTCTTTTTAAAATCTATGAAATGAAGTACTCCTAAGCCAGCAGAATAAACTGATCAGTTGTATGCTTGAAATAACTTTCGAAACTAGAAAATATTAATTCTAGTAATAAAACCAGGTAATTTATCCTTTGTTTGATGAATAATACCATTTACCTCAATACTTTTCTCTAAGTGTATTAAAATCCATGCACACAAGAAAACGTATTGAAAAATTATAGAATAATGTATCTGGCAAATATACTATGCAACGAAAAACTGGTTGTTGTGACAGTTGATCTAGTCAAAAACTTGTATTTTTGAACGTGTTACATGAATTATTATCTTTTTAAAGAGCGTTTCATTTAATTTCAGATAGTTTAATGATCTCTTGCATATATATATATATATATATATATATATATATATATATATATATATATATTTATCCACTTGTTGACTGTTTTCCGTAAGCCAAACTTGTTGAAATTATTGTATGCTGAGAATTGATTATTGTACTTAACATACTCAACATAATATTGAATATAAAATAAGCCATTGATAATACACATAATAAGCATAATGGAAAAATCATTTTTAGTTTTAAGAATAATGAACACATGATTTATTATACTATCATATTAGATGAAATAGATTAGTCATCTCATATTACGAAGTGAAGTAATTATCTCAAAAATCAATACTATTAATTAGCTCAAATATCTTTCATCATCAGTAGAGATAAACTATTACTATTATTTTTTTTATGGATAATAAATAACATTTACATAGAGAAATGAATGCTCCCAGCCTCATCTAGAATGAAAGTGATGATTGTAGAAGTAGACAAATATAACTAAATCAATATTTTCTCTGGAATTGCAATGATTTTTGAATGAATATGATAAAAACATATTTTAAAAAGTACAAATCTCTTCCAGTAAACATCTTAGTGGATATAATACTGTTAATATTGTATATGTTTAGTCCAGAATGTAATTAATGTGAGACATTTTGTCTTTTAGAAGTTTTAGGTAAAAAAAATTGGTTGTGTGGTCTGAGATAAGTGAGTCAATCTTGAAAATTTCTCTTGTTTCTCTAAACAAAGTCATGAACTCAGTCAGAGAAGTAAGGCTCAAATATTTTTCTTTAAAAAGTGTTCAGAGGGATATGGCATGAAAGTTCTTACTATAATCGGAATTTACATTCCAAGTTTCATTAATAATCGTACGCTAGTAAACTTACATACGTAGCTTACGTAAAAAGATATAGATTGCTAGACGGTAAACTAGTTACAATTAATAAGGAATTTTCGGTGTCAGAGTGGTTATGACAAACCACCACTGTACAGAACTACTTTTTCAGATTAGATTTCATAAGAACATTCCACCTAATTTCACTAATTTATAAATGTAATATTCAATACAACTTAATAAAGTATTTGAACTTTAGTATTAAAGACTTAGTATCCACATAAAATCTAGTTAGAGCAGGTTTCTAAGTTCTCTTAGTTCAGAAAGGAATGGTAAAAGTGTGCAATAGAACAAGTAATAGTTAGCCGTTAGGACTATTAAATATTATGCATTATGCAACAAAAACACTGTTTTAATCTACCATGTTTCTCTCCAGCATTGTACATAGGGCACTTAACCTTCAGAATCCTTGAAGAGCATTTCATATATATATTAGGATCTAAAAACAACTCATAGTAATGCATGACTGCTTGCTTACTTTAATTCCTTGCATTTAAATTATTTTTTGTAAATTTCCTATTTTAATATCTGTTAATTAGATGTAACATGGTTCATTCTTCTTCATCTTTCATTGTGTTTACAATATTTGGTAAATCAGACGAAATGATTGTTCATTTATTGGACATTTTCAATAGCTTGATAACAACATTTCATAACTTAACGGTTTTTATCAATGTTAATAAAAATCTCTGTCCTACAATCTGTTATAGTCTATCCGTCTTCATCATCCTTTGATCCAAAGTATTCACTTTGTATGAATGGTCGAAGTCAAATAAGAAACAGCGAAAATCACGTCTTATTACCTCAACAGCTAACCAGTAGCCTATGTCCGCATCTTAATCTGAATGTCATTGTTGTTATATTATTCTTAATTATGTTCAGATCACGTCTTCCCTTAGGTTTAATAATAAATACTCACTTGATCGCTTACCGAAACTATAAACTATATCAGAAGTTATGTACTTATGGATCGTTTATAACCTTATTACTAAGTTAATTCTAGCCAATGCTAATGCACTAACTAATACGTCAGAAGTTGGAATTTATGAATTATATATCTATCAACAAACAAGCAAAATTAGTCTAATTCAATTAATTTCAAATAATCTCTTTGTTGCAAAGTCAGAACATACTTTGATAATCAAACTTACATTCAATATTTAATTTCACTTCTTCAGAAGATGCTGAACCCATAGAATTTGTAGCTGTACATTTTAAAAATGTCCCATCATCTTCATGAGTGAGAACATTTGATGACTGTGTGTCTACATAATTTAAAAATGGTTTCCACGATGAGTGTTTACTTTCAGTTAAATTATTAAATGTGACAAGTTTCCGGAATCCACTGTTAGAATGTCGAATAAACCAGTTGACTACTGGTTTAGGATTAGCATTAGTGATAAGGCAGCTGAAATAATATAATTTTCCACTGATAATAGTGAATGTTGTTTTTGAATTCTTTAAATCATCAATTAGTTCTGTATGTGACGGCATCGTTTCTTCGATTCCTAATATAACCAAAGGATATTTTGGGGCATCTGTAAAAAAATGAAGCAAAACTGTTTAAAAATATATTTCATAATTACAACAACTACCAACAATTAACAGTTGCACATTACGATATTATGATCAGTTGAACCTTGGAAGTATTAGGGACGTAAAAACATGAAATTCGAACTTTAAACAAATAAATCAATCCTACAGAAGGCGATTTACCAACAAAAGCTCTGATCAACAATTATTTCTTGCAAGAAGATGATTCCTTTATTTTTTTCGCAAAAGCCCAATGACCAGTTTATCTCTATAGTGTTACAGGTATAATGTGCGATTGACCACTTTTCTAATAATGAAATATCAAAATCCTAGTTTACTCAAATATAGGGTTATTTCAAGCTTTATAGATGGATAGGTCGAAATGTAGTCAGTAAGTGATTTTGATGTAAACTTGCCGGTCTAGTTGAATTAAATTTATTCCGGTTGAGATGAATTATTGTTGGAAATCGATCACCATAATTGATAGACATTTTATAACTTTTCATGGAGTTTTTTTTCAGCACGTTTGGTTAATCATGTAGCGTTCATTGTTTCACTGAACTGCATAATCAACACAAACTTCAAATAGAAGTAGATGATGTTATTTGGAAAAGCGACATGATTCATCCATGAAAAGTGAAACTATTAGGTTTATTAAAAGTCTTCTACCCTATCCTCTTTACTTGATCAACATTCAATTGGTGAATTGACTATCACTGTGTTTTCAATTTCTTATACTTACTGGTACAAATGGTTTCAATGTTACAGTAGATTCCGTCCAAATTATCGTAACTTGAGGGCGAAATTCGGCATTACTGCAGTAGTTAAACCATTTGCCTATGTCTATTTGTTTCGTCATAAATTTACGCTAGTTTCAACAGAAAATCAAATCAATTCATAATTCCTAACTCACATTCGAAATACCCGAACATAAATTAGACATTTCTACAGTTTTTCTGACGTTTAATGACATTTTGTTAGATTTATTTTATATTCTAACGGAATTACGAAGAAGTTTTGCTCCATATTTATTTAGCTGCAAATGTGATAGTAATCATTATTTTGCCCAACCATGAAATTGGTTTATACGACAAAAGAAGCTTATTTTTCAAATATCCCTTTCAGTGTCAAACTATGACATCTTATTGTGTATATCTAGTTTTAGGTATAGGTTAATCATACTCATGGATAATCAGACAAACTGATTTATCCACTTCATTCATCTCCATAGTTTGGATCATATAAATGGATCAATGCCTTTATAATGCGAAATGCCATTTTTGAACTATGCTGAATATGCTACATGATTTTTCATAGTTTCACTTGTTGTTGAAAGTTTCTGAAGAGTTCCAGAATTTATTCTAATCGAGCTAGAGATAATAAACCTTAGTATAAAAGAGTTTACTATCTTTTGTTGGAAGGATATACTTAAGGTATTATACGGTTTCTTCAAATATCAGGTATCTTATGATTAAAAGTACCAAATCTAACAAAATATTCAACTATGTTGTAGGTGAGTTAGAAACAAAATGATCAGTGAAGTTGATTTTAAGGAGTATTTACTGTTAAAAAGTTATCAAGCAAAACGAGATAATTGTCCAGTGCTTGCTGGTTTTGCATAGTTCTTTATCCGTAATGTAGCAATTTGATCAGTACATGATCGATCCTTACGAAATCCGGCCTGTTGATCTCGAAGTTGGGCGTCTACGAAGTCCTTCATTCTGTTTGACAATACCCTGTTGAAGACTTTGCCTGGTATTGAAAGAAGAGTGATGCCTCTGTAGTTCTCACACTTGCTAAGATCGCCTTTCTTTGGTATTTTGATGAGGTATCCTTCTTTCCAATCTGATGGTACTTGTTCCTCATCCCAAATCTTCTTAAAGAGAATGTGAAATATTTTCGCAGTTGCTTCCACATCTGCTTTCATTGCCTCTGCTGGAATGTTGTCTGGTCCTGCTGCTTTGCCGCTCTTGATTTGTCTGATGGCCATACTGATCTCTTAAATTATAGGTGCGTCAACATCGATTGGGTGGTCCGTAGATGCTGCTTCGATGTTGGGTGTGTTCAGTGGAGATGGTCGATTCAAGAGTTCTTTAAAGTGCCCTACCCACCTATTTCGCTGTTCGTCAGTGTTGCTGATTACTTTGCCTTCCTTACTTCTCACTGGTCGTTCTGCTTTACGATAGTTTCCAGCGAGCTTCTTTGTTGTTTCGTACAATTGTCTCACGTTTCCTTCTCTTGCAGCCTTTTCCGCCGTCATTGCTAGATCTTCCACATATTTTCGTTTGTCAGCTCTGATGCTCTTCTTCACTTCCCTGTTTGCTTCTGTATACTCGGCTTGCGCCTTAACTTTCTCTGCTCTTGTTCGGCTGACATTCACTGCTGCCTTCTTGTTCCTCCTTTCTTCAATTTTTTCAAGAGTATCAACAGAGATCCATTCCTTGTGATGGTGCTTCTTGCGACCAAGGACCTCTAGACATGTTGAAGTGATTGCCTCCTTAATCCCTTTCCAATTGTTCTGCAATGTTGCTTCCTCTCCATTGAGTAGATCCTGAAAGGCCTGGAACCTATTGGTGAGGGCTACCTTGAATTCGTTGAGTTTTATGGTATCCCGAAGAAAGGCTGTATCTATACGCAAAATACTTCGTATTCGTTGGCCAGACACCATCAGCAACAACGAACTGTGGGAGAGAACAAGTCAGATTCCAGTGGAGGAGGAAATCAGGAAGAAGCGGTGGAAGTGGATAGGACATACACTACGAAAAGCACCGAACTGCGTCACTAGACAAGCCCTCACATGGAACCCTCAAGGCAAAAGGAAAAGAGGAAGGCCAAGGAACACACTACGCCGAGAAATAGAGAAAGATATGAGAGGAATGAACAAACATTGGACAGAACTGGAGAGGGAAGCCCAGGACAGAGTTGGTTGGAGAAAACTGGTGGGCGGCCTATGCTCCATTGGGGGTAACAGGCGTAAGTAAGTAAGTAAGTAAGATTTGAAAAGCAAGATACGACACAGCATGCGCCAACCAAAAGGCTTTTCATGGAGATGCCTTGGAGGACGTTAACACCTTTGCATATTCGGGCAGCATCAAGGTGGGTCCGATGCAGATGTGAGGACGCGGGTTGTCAAAGCAAGCGCTGAATTTCTACAACAGAACAACATTTAGAACTCAGAACAACTACCAATCATCACTGAAATCAGAATTCACAAAACAAATGTCAAGACAATTCTACTGTATTTACTAACAGCTCTCTATGAAAGGTGCTGAGAATTTGCTGGCCAGACACCATCAAAAACAACCTACTGTGGGAGAGAACAAATCGGATTCCAGTGGAGGAAGAAATCAAGAAGAAGTGGTGGAAGTGGATAGGAGATTCACTGAGAAAAGCACCTAACTGCGTCACGAGACAAGCCCTCACTTGGAACCCTCGAAGACAAAGGAGAAGAGGAAGGCCGAAGAAGGAATGGAAACAGACGTGAGAAGAATGAACAACAGTTGGACAGAATTGGAAAGGGAAGCCCAGAACAGAGGAGGTTGGATAACACTGGCCGGGCGACCTATGCTCCATTGAGGGCGTAAGTAAGTATATCAGTTATTAATAGCATTTAAATGTACTATATATATATATATATATATATATATATATATATACATATGACTTTAACACAAGTATAGCAGTAGCACTATTAGGAGTAAGAGCAGGAGTAATAATATCCCCCAAAGTAATAGCAGTTGTTATTGTTGTTGTTTCTGTCTTTTATTGTAGTATCAAGCAGTGAAAAACGATCATACTTGAATTAATTCTATGCGTATATTGGTCTAATGCTAATTGAAAAATAACTAAATAGACATTAGAGCAATCAACATGTTAGTAGCTGGCAATAGAAATAATCATTTCTCTATAATCAACTGATAAAAATGTTTTCCTCCACATGATATTCATTAGTTTGTCAATAAAAATACAGAGGAAATGAAGTAGAATGACTATATCAATAGAAATGTACATTATGTATATACATCACTATTATTATTTTTAGGTACATTAAGATATAATCTCTCTCTTAACTCAAATGATCAATTATCATAGTATAGGCGAGTAACTAGATTCAATAAGTATATGTCAATATACATAAAAATAATATATACATTATATTTTTTTTCGGTTAGAGTTTTGGAGATTTGTGTTTTTACACATTTGAAATCATTAATCATTTATTGTCAGACCACCATTAGAAACCTGGAAGCACTGGACGACCGTTTCATCCTGGTATGGGACTCGTCAGTGGTAGTGCGCATCCACGACTCCTGCACCTCGCGGGATTCGAACCCGAGACCTTCTATATTGAGCGCGAACGCCTAACCGTTGGACCACTGGACAGGCATACAACGGTGATAATGTCTAACTGTGATATATATATATATATATATATATATATATATATATATATATATATATATATATATATATATGTAATGGATTGTGGATATTAGCATTACCTGAATAGATTTTTAAAAATAACCTGTCAAGCCAAAAACCATTGGAACAGTTGTTTCGTTTAAGTTTAGAATTTCTCAGACGATTGTACTAATTACAAGCCACACTAAGAGTCAAACCTGTTAACACCAGGTCTAGCAGTGTGGTATCTTACGACCAATCAGGTCATAATCTTTTGGCTGTTGATAAGTATGACCTTCACTTAATGTCAAGGTAATTTTTCACTTTAGTTAAAGTACTCTTTACTTTGTTTGAACATTCTGTTATTTCCAAACTCCTTGTTTATAGTCTGAAACTTCGACTAATCCATCTTGTGTGAATTAACGTTAAGTATTCTGAAATTTTTTTTCAATTTGATCACAATGTAGGTTCTTATTAACTTTTTTGTGGAAATTATCAAATCAAATTATTAAACACGGTTCCATTTACTGATATTTTCCATCAAATGCATATCTAGGTGAAGTAATTAGCGATTAGTAATTGTACAATACTTGGATAAATAAATTACAAATGAAAAAATATAATAGACTTCCAAGTGAAGATAGAAAAAATGTAGTCATATAATAAAGACGACTTTCAGGATAAGGACTTTGAATGTTTGTATGCTTAAACAAACAGTCCAAGTACTGTTTTAATTCGGTAGTCAAATATCAGTATCTCTTCTAGCTTTTTAGGACGGTCTTCCAACCATTTAGTGAAAATTCAGCTGATATTTATTTCTAGACCTTAAAAATCATCAGCTTAACATAAATAAATACGTAAATATAAAGATTAAAACTCATTAATCTCACCTAAAATATTTAAGTAACCACGTTGATCATATGCATCTAAATTTACTAAAGTATGACATTGAAATAATCCATTCATATCGGATTGTATGTTAGTTAGCGTAAGTGTAAATAACTGCCTACTATGAATAAGCTCATTGTCATCTGTTGTAGATAAACTTTCCGTTGTAATTGGATTATTATTAAACAAGGATTGATTGAATTTGTTCAATGAACTGTATTGATTAACAAATTCACAGACATTCGGCGGTTGAGGACATCTAGCTAAATCATCATCTTTGTGAATAAAACTCCAAATATTTGGTGCTGGATCTTTGTGTGCATGTCGAAATCGCCATATTACGTAAACAGTGTCAGTTTGTTTTGGTTTAACCGGTAGGTGACATTTTAAATATACAGTAGAATTAATCGGTATGCTTAAATTGTTTGGTGGATCGTACAACTGAAGCTGGAAAATAGAATTGGCATTCAATTCATTGGCTGAAAAAAGATAAACAAAATGTATCTGTTGTATAAAAATATAAAATAGTTTTAGTGTCAGTCAGTCAGTCAGATGCAACGTAGAACTTTGTACGTAAGTACATCAGTTCATGTTGCCATACCACATTATCTCAGAGATATAATTTTCAATTAAAATCCAACAGTAGAAGGGGTAGTAAAGGTATTAGGAGTAATCGGAGAGGTTAAGATTGGAAGATATTATTCAAGAAGTATGATTCAGTGAGAAAAGTTTAGAAGAATCCAGAAGATTAGGATTTGAGAGAACACAAAGAATGAATGCACCGGCGCCATTGCGAACGATTTTGAGCCATGTCATTCAGGGTCTCTAACCATCTATTATTATCATCTCGCGGACCCGATTCAGGTAGTCGACAACTACCGACATGACTCAGTCCACCTGTCAATGACTTCATGGATTCCTGCCATGTCTTGGTTTGACCGCCCCTAGCTTGCTTCCAACCTATTCCTACACTACAAAACAAAGCTTATCGAGGCAGTCGGTGGTTAGGCATACGCAGCACATGTCCCAACCACCTCTGTTTTAGTGTACACTTGGAAAGTTAACTTAGTCATTTCAATTGATTTCAGATGAAACTCTTAGTTTATTTTTTCAAAATCATGAATCGATCATTGTTAGACCACCATTATAGAAACCTGAAAGCACTGGATGGCCATTTCTTCCCGGCATGGAACTCGTCATCACTTTATAATTGATAATTTATTTAATTGTTAAACTGAAATCAAAATTATCTTATAGTATTTTTATTTCTAATCATTTTCAAAGTTGATAAATTCAACAAAGAGATAATTACGATCAACTGGAATAATTGGCGAGCGATCAGTTCACTTTTCACTTTTATTGACTGGATAAAAATCCACCACTAATTTAAGTGTGTACTGTGGCATTAGACATTTTATTCACTGGAAGTTCTTGATGTTTACATACCTAATTACGTCAATAATTCAGAAGAAAAAAATCTAGTTTCAAACTTTTTGGACATATGACGAAATGTCATTTGATTGTCCGCAATCTAACTTCTTGATCAAAGTTAAGTAAACATGATTGTTCTTCTATAAGTCGAAAAACAAATAGGGACTGCTTAAATGTGAACTTCGAATTATTAACTTTGACGACAGCTACACTAAAATGTATGATAATTTCAATATTTGTCTATCATCCTTCTTAAATTCTAATTATTCCCTGATACAGAGAGAACAGTTTCTCTTTAAACTGTCAAGTGACTGAACTAAAACCAAGTCCCACCATAGATTTAATTAAAGTTGATTACTGCTACAAATATATTATATCGAAAACAACTAAACAATTTCGAATCATTTGCCGTTATCCCCTTGGATTGTTCAGTAATCATAGTTTTATATTGAACATTTAGTAAACAAGTGTTATTATCATTAACATTTTAATGAATATCTTACATTATTTTAATTAGGTATAGAAATTTTTATTTATCTAACGAGAAAATCAGTCATTATCATGTTGGTTTGTTTGTTTGTGTATTTTTTCGCTCTCATTTTTTATTGTTGTTACATTGAATCCACTTTACATGTACGTTTGTATTTAAACTACGCGGTATTTTTATAATTGATTCAAACCGAAACAGGCAACAAGCATTTAAACAAAAAACAAAACATTAGTATTTCTATTAGATATAAAATTTTTGGATCCTCTGTATGTAAATATATATCCATTAAATTGATAATGGACTGATAAGAATTTCATATATATGTTTGTCAGAAATAAATATTGTGATAAAATCATACAATTTAATGGTTTGTTATCCTGGTCTCCCTTCCCTTGACAAAATTACATGAATACAGTTAAACGTTCAGGTTTTGGATAAAATAATGTAATATTCAATAATCTGTACTTCATTTCTAGGTTTTCGTTGGCTGTCAAAAAAAAATGGATGATAACAACATTAATGTAGTTTACGTTGAGCCAAAATTCAAACTCACTGTTCTTAGTTTCAAGCTAAAATAAGTTTTTCGAATATAATTAGGATGAATACACCAATGAGTCAGTGAGTAGTTATCAAATTTCTATTTCATTTATCCAATGACAGAGTTAAGATAAATAATGTGATATATATATGGCAAGTCTTCAGAATTACAAAATATTTTTGCAATTCATTTGAAAGCTGTACAGATAGATGCTCAGATGAATCTTTCCTAATTGGGAAGATAACACAGTAATTGAATCGAAAGTTATAAAGTTAGTGGCTGGGAAACTCTGTGGTTATATAAAATCCGACTACTGTTGATGTCCATGAACCCTATTCGTCAAAACTGGTTTCAATTACTTTTTCTGTTGGGAGACTTTTTTAGCGTACACCAAATAATCCCATTAAGAGAACTCAAATATTCTGGTCTTAAAATAATTTTTTCTGTATACTTTCTTCTTCTCTTACTTCAGATATTTTGTTCATTAGGTCAAAGTTAATAAGCGTATAGATAAGTTGAATGTTGTTCTGAAAGTAAAATTTCAATACATACCGATTCATGAGAATGAACTAAAAACACTGACTCTTAATGATGAGATAATACTTTATTACAATCATCATAATGTATATCTCTATGTCTGTTAGACTACTTTACACCCTTTTCTTGCGATTTGGAGCATTATTTTGGGCACAAAATACCGGTTACTTTAATGCAGGGAATGCCTGTAAGAAAGCTTGTCGCATTAAATTTTGTTCTCGAGAACGATCTTTTTAAGCTAACCTCTAGTGTAGTTTAATAATGAAAAATAGTGGTCCAAGAACACTTCCAGGAAGATATCACCAAACAAACGTCAGTCGTTTCTAAATTAGTTTTTTAGGCTTCAAATAGTTTCATTTACTAATAATTTTAAGTGAATTGATCAATAAAAGGAGTTGATAACATGATCGTAACTCTCTAGTAACCGCCAAACACTACCATTCGCGTATACAGTCGAAATTCTCGAATTTTTCCCTAATTTTATGTTTTTACTCAGTCGCGAAATTTCTGTATTCATTTTCAACTGCCTATCATTAATATCTAACTAATTACTAAAATATTTGTCAAATCATCTAATAAAAATTACGTATCGTGCCATTTTAGTTACTAAATGTTTTTATTCCTTCATACATGAATTCACACTTTTGAATATTAATAACTTTGGGAACCTCATCTTTTGAATACTATGTGTATTATTTGTAATTTTAAACAGTAAGTGCCGATTACTTAATATTCGTTATGTTTAATTGGCGTCTTTTGATATTTAGTTTAACATAAATATATGTTTAACGAAACAAGCTAAGAATCGATATCCTGAAACTAAGACATCTTTCAATATTCCCAAGATTTTAGTTTCGATAACGTGATAAACTGTATTATTTTGAATACAATTTAAGTTCAATAACACAACTACTGATTAACTCCCAATCGCCTTTCAGTTACCATGCTGAGCAATGTGATCTGATAGATGATGATATTGAATATAATCAGTAGACGATTAAGCAAAGTGAACTTTCGTGTATGAATCAAGGTAAAAAAAAATAGTCGTCCGTTTGTGAAATAGGAAGAATAACAAATGTGGTGTACCACTATGAATGGCTGACAACAGTTGTATTTGCATACTTCTCCTGTTATTATCACAGTAAATATTAAACCTTATTTATTTGTTTGTATTCAAAACAATATTTTAAAAATCTACCTCCCAAAATCTTATAATCCGATTTTAATACTTCATTTACTAAGTAATGTTAGTCATAACACAAAAATTTCATTGATATAAAGTTAATCTTTGTTAGGAAAACACTTTACGTATTGTTAATAAAGTTATCTTAAGCATAGAATACAATTTCATCAGAATAATTTTCAGTTTTTCCCATGGAATTTCTTGTAATTAAAACATGAATAGTACTTTTTCCTGAACATAGGCAATTGTACATGAAGAAAAATGAATATCTGGAATAGTTTTATAAAATCTCCTCTACAACATCGCTTTCAATATACCATTTAACATTACAAATCCATAATTCTAATATTTATTAGCATAATTTATTAAAGTATCTTTGACACAACATGCTTAATACATAGAAAACAAAAAAAACAATCTTCAGACATCCGTCCGTATATCTGTCAGTTTACATAATATAATGATTAATCTGTTTATTTGCTCTCATGTAAGAGACCTTATTACGCTTGAATGAATAATCAATAGTCACTTCAGTGTAGTGTAAAGGAACTATGGTGTAAAATTGTATTTGAGGCGGGGAAATTATTATTATGCACTAAAACACAATAAAAAAAGATGTACTTATTCTATAAGATGATTAGTTAGAAAGCAAAATTGTAGTTCAAATGTTTAGTAATGATACTTATTGAGGTAATAGACTTTATAATCATTGATCATTGTAAATATTTATCCAACTTATACTTATTCATTGGACTTGATTAAAACAAATAGATAATAATTCATAAACTTTAAAGTGAAACTAGTTGACTGAAATCTAATTTTTTTTTCGTATTTCAAACGCATTTAGCCATTAACCTTCAATATTTGCCATAGTTGAACAAATGGAAAAGTGATTAATAGTTGCAAGACAATGTTTAAAGAAGGTATCAGTTAGTCAGCAAATCATAAATCAAAAAACAAAATCATTATTGAAAAGTATCCTCCTGACCAAGTTAAACTTATAACTCTCACTAGTCAATTACATCTGTACAACGGAGTCATTTTTTTTATAGAGCAATGAAAAGCAACAACAAATTACCAAGCTGTGTTTTTTTAAAAAAAACGGAACAGTACTATTTATGCAATCGTATTATTCACATTATAACATAAATCGAAAACATTTAACAACTGGTGAATTTTATTCACTTATCACTCCTATTCATTATATATTTTGGCAGACAACTAACCATTTTACATATGCGAAGCATCGATGTCGATTTGTAAAAACTACTAATAGATGAAAATAAAATTTTTACTAAATTATTTAAACAGGCCATAATAATATTAGTAACCGATAGATCTCGATCTAACGTAATTTTTATTTCCTGAATGAATGCATTTATTTTGCATGCTGTAACATTATACTAGTAGGTGTTGGTTAGGATTATTGTTTGATGTGCACCATTAACGATGTTGATTTACACTTTTTTATTGTAAAAACGAATGTTTTGTACAAAACAAAAAAAACTAATTAGATTTACATTCAATATTCAATGCAATGATCAGAAAAAAATGTACATGTTAAATAAAATAATTTAATTAGTCACTTGTTAAAACATAGAAATTAATTGAAAAATTATTAAACTAGTCTCTCTTAGGCAGGAAAATTCAAAAAGTTAATGTTTCAGTTTTGTAAAGAAGTCATTGAAAATATTTTCTAAAGAATTTTTTCTATGCGCACTTTTGAACTTTTTCAGTGAATCGATTATGATCTTTTGTCCGTGTATTGTTGATTTAGAGTGAAGTGTGTGTCTGTGTGCACATCAATACTTTCAAAACCAAGGTTTGGTCGACTGATTCATTCCTCTATAGTTTCCAATATTCTTTTCAATCATAGTTACTCAACTTTGATGTAAAGTTTGTGTTTCACAAGTCAGTGGTATTTACGCAAAACATTTGTCAATAATGACCGTCAAGAATTATCCCAATGAGTTATGTATCTAGTTCCGTCGATAATTCTGAATAAGGGGAAAATAAGTAGCTCACAGAAAAGCATACAATCTTTCGATTCATAGTCTTCTTATTAGCTTCAAACAATAGAACCTAGCTAAGAATGGTACTTACTCTCACCCTTTCTCTTTCTCCTGGTGATCCACTGTATTATGAAGGCTTCAACATTTGAAGGTAAGAACGGTATTCAGTGGACAGCTAGGATGCAGATGGACGATCTGGACCTCGCTGACGACCTGGCTCTTCTATCACACACGCAACAACAAATGCATGAGAAGACGACCAGTGTAGCAGCAGCCTCTGCAGCAGTAGGTCTCAACATACATAAAGGAAAAAGCGAAATTCTCCGATGCAACACAACATGCACCAACCAAATCACTCTTGATGGAGATGCCTTGGAGGATGTTAACATCTTTACATATCTTGGTAGCATCATCGACAATCAAGGTGGATCCGATGCAGATGTGAGGGTGCCGATCGGCAAAACAAGGGCTGCATTTCTACAAGTGAAAAATATCTGGAACTCCAAACAACTCTCAACCAAAACCAAAATCAGGATTTTCAATACAAATGTCAAGACAGTTCTACTGTATGGAGCGGAAACTTGGAGAACTACGAAAGCCATCATCCACAAGATATAAGTGTTTATTAACAGTTGTCTACGCAAAATAATTCAGATTCGTTGGCAAGACACTATCAGCAACAACGTACTGTGGGAGAGAACAAACCAGATTCCAGTGGAGGAGGAAATCAGGAAGAATCGGTGGAAGTGGATAGGATACACATTACGAAAAGCACCTAACTGCGTCACAAGACAAGCCCTCACATGGAACCCTGACGGTAAAAGGAAAAGTGGAAGGCCAAGGACCACATTACGCCGAGAAATAGAGAAAGATATGAGAGGAATGAACAAACATTGGACAGAACTGGAGACGGAAGCCCAGGACAGAGTTGGTTGGAAAAGACTGGTTGGCGGCCTATGCTCCAATGGGGGTAACAGATGTAACTGCCCTATGTTGTTCTTAGTTGACTTTAAACAAGTAAGTAAGTAAGTAAGTAAAATTGGTACTGCTAAATGCACAAATGTGATGTAATTTAGTAAGCAGAGACAAAAAGTGAGTCAGCAGAAGGAATGACAAAAGTTTCATGGTTAACACTGATGTCTATTTTAGAAATGGAAAATCTAATCAGTGAACCGATGACAAATGATAATAATTGATTGAATAATTGCACGAACAACATAAGATATGGTTATGTAATCCCTTTTTCTACAGAAAACTAAGATAAGCTACGCTTCTCATATCATTAATAATGGTAAACAGTTAGTAATTGCTTTGAGAACAATTTGGTAATTGTAACAAAATTCTAAGAACTGTAACATTGCCTTATGTCATCTATTAAATTCAAAAGAAGTTTAAGCAAAGCAGTTTTAAACAAACCCTAAAGTTAATAACATATATATCACAAACTATTTCTCATCAGAATGAATTCAGTATACATTAGAAAATAAATAAATAAGGAAATCTATTGTTGTAAGCATAAGAATGAAAATGATTCTTTAAATTATGCAATGGTAACACTAATCTACAAATAAACATATCCGTATTTATTTAAACTGGGATAAAAAATTGAAGTAGTATGTAAAAAGGTAGCCTCTAGCAATGATTTTTGCTCCTTTTCATATTTATTACTTATAGATAAATAGATAGATTTTTCGCCTATATTGTATAGAAGAAGAAATGGTTTTCCTATTCAATGTTGAATTTATTCAATTATCAAATATATGATTTTGTTTGCAAATTTATATTTATATCTTTATAAACATACGTACATGTATGTAATAGTTTGGCAGTTCTTTTTTTATTGTTGTAGAATTTTGTTTTAAATTGAATTTTGATCACTTTTTAAAAACTTGATTTATATCTTATTATTAATCTAACGTTGAATGACAAACTGAATGAATTATTTTTCAATTTTGGCAGTAAATATATCATTTACAACTTTTATAAATTTAGTCAATTTTTGAAAATGATGAATATAGAAACTTGAAAAGTGTAGAAAATCTGTACAGCTCAAGTAAGTTCTTTGATCGTGTTCGATTCATTGAACTGTATTAACTGCTTAACTGAGAAGCTTTTATTGTTTGTTTTAGACAACATTATCAGTGGTTATTTAAGAAAGAATTCTATAAGCATTAGATCAGGGAACTTCAATGGAATTTGTGTAATAATCTTTATAATATTTCCCGTTAATTTAACTGACAGTGTTATGTTAAAAAACAATGAAAACCTCGTTATCAAAAGAAACAAATCAGTAAATATGAAATATTCGAAGTCATATATGAGTTTCTTTCATAGTGTATGCTTCGTCTATTAATCCAACAAGATATTTTAATGTAGAATTTACGACAAGTATGATATGTAAGAGGTAGTGAGTACATTGGTAGAGATTGGTCCATTAGATTATTCTAAGATTTTGTATTCTCTTTATTGAGTAATTTTATTACTAAGTTTTCACCATTTTTTCTCTTTCTTTGGTAGAATCATCTAGACAAACTTTAGCGAAGCGCCTCATTCTTCCATACTCACAGAATTCTTTAGATAATACAAATATGTTCTCAATGGACTTGTGGAAATAAAACTCTTGTATAAAAATTTCGTATCACATATTACACAGTAAAATAAATTAAAACTGTGATTTAGATTTAATGGGTCATGTTCAGAGAATGTCCGGCATTTTAACCGTGTTGGTTGGTATAGAAAATCTATCTAGGGGGGTTGGAAAACACTAATCCCAAACCATCGGTGCGCTCGAGTTTCAGGATCCTGAGGGAGTAAATGGTGTACGAATCTATTGTTTATCACTGGCTATCATCGGACTCCACCTCCTAACTTTTGATCCACTGCCTAGCGGATTAGACCTGTAGGTCAAAGTTTCAAGGAGTGGCTTCCTAAAAACATCACCTTCTTCGGGAAGTAAAGCAGCCCGCACACAAATTGACTGATTTGTGCGGCTCATATATATTTGGGTGCCTCTTTGTATCAATGTCTTTTTTATTTAAATAAATGAACAATTTACTCGATTACAGATGTCTTATAGTTTCAAGAAATTGATTTATCATTTGAAACTTTTGTCACTGATTTTAAAGTAAGTAGATATAATCTAGTCAAGTTAACCATTGAATTTATCGCATCACTTACATATTCTATAGAAGATATATGAAAGCAATACAAAAACAATCTTAACTCATTGATTAGCTCAGTTTTTGAAATTTTTGAATACATCATTAGATGCGACAGCTTATGTGTTACTTACTTTTAAAAACAAAAATGAATAAATCCCTTGCAGTATGAAGCCCTAACAGAATAATATTAGATTGGAGCATCAAATGACTTATTCACCTTGATTAAAATCTTTTCAGTAGGATACAATCACAACCACGGTGAAGATGAAATCGGTTACCATCAATCCTTATAAGGAGTACAACAATTTTAGACAGAGAGAGATCCAGTAGTCTGGTTTGCAAATTCAGTTCACTGGTTATCCACTACTTTTTTTAGCTTTTAATAGTTAGTTTTCTAACTGACGGTACCTAATAACTTATTTAATTACTTAATTGTATTATAATTAAGCAAAATTACCTTAGGGAGTATTTGTCAAATTCTGTTCACCAGTTTATTTAACACTGTGGAAAGAAATATTACTTCATATTGACAGTCCAGTTTCAATTCGCAAATTTCAAATAACCGATAATATAAGTTTACATGAAGGAAGATAAAATGAAAAAGAAGTTCTAAGTCTTTGATTAAATTTTAGATATTGATTATCCGAAAATATTTTTAATTAAAAGCTCATTTTCATTGCCATATATTCATTGAAGAGCCATTTAAACACAACTGATATTCGATAATTAATTGGAGCGTTTGAAATAAATTCCGTCTGGAATCACTACAACTATTAGGTTTTTTTTATTAAAATGGTTTCTTTATTTTAAATTAAAAAAAAGATGGAAAGTAGTATTGTTCGCAAATTAGGATAATATCTGCATACACCATAAAAACCTTCACTTTATAAAGTGTAAAATAAATCGATAAGAGGCGAATTTAAACTAATGCACACACAGTACAATATGTTCTTGGAATGCTTTTGACAGTAAAAGATCTTGTAAGGGAATATTATTTGCACCATTACTAATTATTTATCGAATTTTATAGTAGTTTGGAAAGTTTCATCAAAAAATTTAGAGAGTATAATGTGATCATAACAAATCAGTGACTGAAACTACAATTCTGGGAGTTTTCACAATTTAAGTCACAAAATAACCTCA